TATCCAAACCAAATCAACACTTTATAATGAAATAAAGGAAGATGTTGGTAATGATGTGAAGCCCATAACCACAAAGCGAGCATAGCGGGATTACTTCCAGTCTGATGTTGTTTTCAGTCGGGACCTATAAACTGGATAAACTTTTCAGGTTGTTTTCAGACCAGTTTAATGCAATACAGATGAAGTAACTGAATAATTAACTTGTTTTTTAAACATTTTGCTCTAATATATCTTAACTCCTCTTTTGTTTAAATTCAAATGTAGAAAATGAAAAGTCGTCCAGGTTTTGTGTGTTGAGGAAATGTCTGTAGTCTATATAATGGGTGAGTTTCTATTACGTATAAAAAAAATAGCAATGGAAATCCAATCCTAATCTGGCTGCTAATTCAGATAATTGGCAGCATATAATTTATATAGTGAACAGATCTTAGCACTGATTCCTGTACTGGTACTCCATAACTACAAAATGCATAATAATTTTGATGGGAATGCCAAATAATTCACAACCAAGACATAATTTGCAAATGCAAATGTATTTTGTTTGCTTTTTTCTTCACTTAATATTCAATGAAGAATGTAGTTTCAAAAAATTTTCTGACAATCATTGCACAATTCAGGCTTTAGATGGGTTATCAAATTTTCAGTGGTTAAAATATTTATTGCCAGTCAATCCAGTTTAACCAGTCCACAATGATGGCCTCTGGATCAGAGTTACCATGAGGCTGGTTATCACTAGCCTCGTGAGACCATCCTGATCTCGCGAGCTTTCAAGATTTCACTTGCAGATCAGTCTGGAGACTCTCCGTTATTTGGAGCCGTTCGCCAAACGAACGTCCAATCAGTGTTGGCTTTGAGGCGGGTTGAGGTGTGACGCAACGAGAAGCTCGACAGTTCAGTCTAAAGAACATGGCGGCTTCAGCCGATGAAACTAGCGTTAGCGTGGCTATCGAGCAAGTTTTATCGGAATTACAGAGTATTTCTTCACTGAAAGAAGAGCAAAACACTGCTCTGGAGGCTTTTCTCAGAGGAAAAGATGTTTTTGCTCTTCTCCCCACTGGTTTCGGCAAGAGTTTGATCTATCAATTGGCTTGTGCCTTGCTTGTGGTTGTGTTTTCTTCGTCGTTCTGTTAGTACGTCATATCCTTCGTTGATCTGATTGGTTTATTTGGCCCGTCTATCACCAACATAGGCCAATCAGCTAACCAGTATTTTCGCCCCTTCCCAGAATTACTTCAACGGAAGGTTTCCAGATGGATATGCAGAAATCCATCTGGCAAAGTCAGGTTAGGTTATCACCATGCTAACTCCATCCAGCTTCAACTGATTATGAATCTGTGAAGACAGGCCGGGTTCAAGGTAACAGACCAATCAGAAGAACGAGCACAGAAAGGAGAACGCCGTATTTCTCCTGAGAGGGAAAAAAACTCATCTGGCAGAAAAATGAGGACAAAAAAGTCTCAATGAAAAGTCAAACATGGTGGACGCATGAAAGAGACGCCAAAAACGCTGGCAAAGGAGCAAAGTTACACATGAGATGTTTAATACATCCAGCATCCCAATCACTGCAGTGCATGAAAACAGCGTTCCCCTCAGGAGTGTAGATGACACATAATAAAACAACATAATTTCATCTGGTTAGTTGGACTTTTTAATTCAACAGTGTTTGGGCGACAATAAAGCTAAAGCTATGATTGCATCATATTAATACAAGAAGAGATCAGTCTGAGCGAAATCACCCTGATTTCTGCGCTCTGCCAGAACTTTTTGTTTACCTGTCGGTTTACTATTAATCCCCCATCAGAGCAGTGTAAAATCTACCCTCCTCATTCATACTGTTACAGCAAAAAAAAAAAAAATAAAAACACACACACATACATATTGGCCAACTTGTATATTTAACTGCCTGATTGTTCTAATTGCATAAACTGCTTCTTTTTAACTGTGTATAGGCAATGGGCTCAGCATCCCTGATGGTGAACATGAAGCTGCCAGTTACATAATAAAGGCCAAACATCCAGTCTGTGATCCAGTTAGGGAAGCATTAATGCAAATCCGACACTCTGTCTCATGGTCTATATGCCAGTCCGGCCTGTGAAAAGCTGTATCACTTCTATAAGTAATCGTCATAGTGATCCAACGGACCCTCTTCATTTTTGCACTCTGATTTTTATTATATCTTTATTTAGCTTCATATATAAATCAAACAAGAAACAAGTGAATGCCAGTGGTGTATGAGATCATTATACAGGGGTAAACAAATACAGATTAGTAAAAGGTCTGTATTTGTCAAGGATAAGTTCAGTTTTAAGTAGTTGTTGGTGTTTAAAGGAATAGTACACCCAAAACATGATTAGCCTTCATTTTCTACTCACCCCCATGCTGAACAACAGTCTGGAGTACTTTTTTGATATCTCAAATGCATCTGGAGATCTGGGAGGCTTCTTGCTGTCTGCTGACATTCAAATAATGGAGGTCTATGGCGCCCGAGGCAGAAAGGTCCATAAAAGTCCACAAAAAAGTGTCAATATTCCTCCATACTGCTCGTCCAATGTATTCCAAGTGTCCTGAGTGGGTAGCGTCCAGAATTTACTCGAAACAAAGTCATTTAGAATGTTTTTAGAGCATAAACAGTAGTGTATAGGATTTCCTGAAAGCGCGCACATGCGCGATCACGACGCTACGGAAGCCGGCACACCAAACCAGATGAAAGTGCGCATTCAGCTCGGCAAAGAACTCATGCTCTTCCTCAACACTGAAGTCCTCAGACATTTTTCTTTCGTTGTTTCTTTCTTTGCACAGGTAAACGGCACATTTCTTCTTCTACGCTTGCATTATTGGCAGAGCAGACGCTGAATGCGCACTTTCATCTGGTTTGGTCTGCCGGCTTCCGTAGCGTCGTGATCGCGCATGTGCGCGCTTTCAGGAAATCCTATACACTACTGTTTATGCTCTAAAAACATTCTAAATGACTTTGTTTCGAGTAAATTCTGGATGCTACCCACTCATGACACTTGGAATACATTGGACGAGCAGTATGGAGGAATATAGACACGTTTTTTGTGGACTTTTATGAACCTTTCTGTCTCAGGCACCATAGACCTCCATTATTTGAATGTCAGCAGACAGCAAGAAGCCTCCCAGATCTCCAGATGCATTTGAGATATCAAAAAAGTACTCCAGAGTGTTGTTCAGCATGGGGGTGAGTAGAAAATGAAGGCTAATCATGTTTTGGGTGTACTATTCCTTTAAGTTATTTAATTATTATGTTATTTTGTATAGGTTCTTTTTCCCTCTGAATTAAATCAGGTCTTCAATGAAAAAGTTGGTCATTGTTTCCCAACAGCTGATTGGCTGCTTTCTAGCATTCAGATCAATCATGAAAGCTAGCCTGCCCCGAAGCAGATTTGCCATTCAGAATATGTTACCATGGTGACTAGCCTTCGTAAAACCTGAAAGTCAGGTTCAAACCTGAAGTTATCAGGCTAACCCAGTAATCCTGCTTCATGGTTCAGGACTCTGGCATTTCATCAAATCTACAAGAAAATAATTACATTTAATAAGGTAAAAAGGTCTGCATACTTAACCAGTAGAAAAAAAACATGATATAAAATTGTAGAAAAAAACAAAGAAACCAAAAATAGCTGAAACAAAGTGACTTAAACCAGAACTATGTCATTTTTGAGTTGCCTTCTCCCTACGGGACCTTTAGAAAATAGCACCTTTGTAAACGCAGACAGCTCTCAGTGCGCAGCACCTCAGCTGCACATACCAAAGTCTGAAGGTGTATTTTACATTTTTAAATGTAAATTACTGTGATGCAGCAATTTCAGACGAAAAAAAACAAACTTTCATAAAAGCCAGCCTCTTCAGTTAACCATTTTTTACCTGCTGTTATCGGCGATTCAGCCTCTCCAGGTTTTATAGCTGCACCACATCTAAAGTTACAACAGTTGAACTAACAGAGGTTAGCAGATTTGGTCCAATAAGAACATTTTCAGGTCTGAATCAGTTTTCAACCTTCAGGACTAAATGCTTTTCTTAGAATCGGGTCCCGACTGGATTTACGTTTTCCTTTCATTTCCTTTTCAGACAGGTTTTCTTTACCCGTTTTTCCAGCCTCAAGGTGACATAAATCTCCAAAATAGAACAAAAGCCCAAACTATTCTATAACCTTTGGGTAGCACAGCAAGGTGGTTGGTTACTGGAGCTAAAGGCTTTCTATTGGGCAGCCATAAAGTAGCCGTGAGACTTGGATCAGAACCAGCAGCAGTAGATGAGAGTCACCCAAAGGGTCTCATAAAAACTGGGATGATCACCACAGGGACTTAAATGAGATGTTACTTAATAAGTGCAAATTAAATAAGGTAACTGATAAAAACTCAGAAAAAAACACCCACAAAGGCTAAAACAATTCTTAATGTAAAAAGAACATATTTGTACAGTTAAATACAGACATAAGTTAAAAAAAAGATAAATATAACCCTTTTATACACAATGAAAAAGTGCTAATAACTGAACGGATTGCCTTTCTAATTGTTTGGCTTTAGGTTTGACACGCTGACAAAAACGACTTACTTTCTGACAGTTGGATCTTCGCACATTGAGATGATTTTCATTAAAGGCATAATAGCATGAAAAGGTAACAGTGGTGCATTATTTACTTTAGTGCTTTATAAACAGGAACTATTTTTCTCTTAAAAGTTCATTCAACGTGAGATGAGAGAGAAGGAAAGAAAGAAGGATATGTTGGTTTTTTTGCAATTGTTTCCATTTCACATAATTGTTCTCCATCTTGTGCTTTTGATGCATAAAGATGTAAAATAGTTTTTTCTTTTATATTAGTCTTCTTTTCACAGTAAACAGTCTCTGTCTGGCTAAAAATAACAACGCTGTTGTTGATTAAATTCATAGCCAGGATAAATGAGAGCCCTCTCTGGCGATCAGTTGAGATTGATACTGCATGAAGACTTTAATGTAGAAATAATTTGTTTTGTTTTTACTTGTGTCTCCAAATAAAATAAATAGTCCCTTCCAGTTAAGTGCAACAGAAATCTGATTGAGCACCATAAGAGACAGCTGGGATCTCTTGGAATAAACTGGTAGATAAATTCCTCTTCGCCTGTTTAATGTTTATGTTCCTTATTAGACATTGGACTCTATAAAGGGTCTTTTTGGTTTGACCGGGGAGGAAGGTACAGTCGTCCTTTCTGTCAACCTGTCGGGGCAGCTTTGGACAACCGGCATTGTTCGGGCGACCTTCACGTCAACATAGGAAGGTTGCTGACCTTTTACGCGTCCTGAAACTTCCCGCCATCGGCTGCTTTGAGGAACTCCTTTATAGAAGTCCATTTGGTTTTCGTGGCGCAGGTTGTGTGCGTTGTTGTTGCTCCGGTTGAAATAGGCAATACATGATGGTGTTTCTGGAGTCAGAGCCTTGTGGTCGGCAGGGCTTTTAGTTGGTGAGGTAACAACCATGTCAACTGAAGAAACAACCCAGGAACGAGAGGGGTTGATGCAAGATGCTGAACTTGAAGGAACCTGCTGTTGCGCTCGGACTCTCTTGTCTGTTACTCCCATGAAAATCATGTTTCTGGTTAAGAGTTCTTCTGACTCAGGAGAGGAATCGGGAAGGAGCTCATGAGTATCATCATAAACACCTTTGGATTTTGGAGGTAGATCCATTTGCTGGGCAGAGGAGGAGGTTCGAAAACTTTGGCCTTGATTAGGGTGCATCCCACTGGCAAGACTTCCATTGCTAGAAGAAAAACGCACATTCACACTATGGGAGTGGACCAGAGACCTAGGAGGAGCACAGGAGGTAGGGTGGGCACTGAGAGGGCGACAAAGTCCACCCTGGTGGTAGTGAAAGTCTTTGAATGATTTATGCCCCATCCCAGCCTCAGTAACTTCCATTGGGTAGTAAGCTGCTTTGGACTGGTTGCGGCTGAGTTGTCGGGACTGACTAAAACTATTTACTCCAACTTCTGTACCTTGGCCATATGTGGGGGTTGCTCTGGTTTGGCAAACAGGTTCAACATCTGCGTTATCTAAAGCATACAAATCTCCAACGCCGCCTCGAACTTGTGGATTGGCATTGAACGGGCTCGCATAAAAGCCTTTTCCCAATTCTTCTAACTCTTCAGGAAGATGGGCAAGATGGGAGTAAGCAGAACTATCCAAAACAATACCGGAAGGAGCCGAGGAGCTAAGCTGAGTGCTTAAGCTCCCCTCAGCCTTGGTGTTGTGGAGCCACTGGCCTTGGGGACGACTGTGCTTCGGTAGGGATCTCTTATTGGACACAGGATAGTTCTGCTGTGCACCCTCATTCGGACCTTCTGGGCTCAGGCCTGAGACGTTTTGAAAGGTGTACTGACCTCTACTTTCAGACATTATGCCGGCTCTGTGTGGATGCTGCATTGGGGATGATGGGAAATCAATGTGGGCATAGGAGAGGGAAGAAGGAGGAGGCAAAGACTGACTGGGATGGGAGAGGTTTGTTGAATGGGTGGGACTAGAAAGGTGCTGATGCATGTGAGTAGGGGACAGAGAAGATGGTGATTTCTCTCTGGAGCAGCCGTGGGTTTCTGGACTTTGAAGTGCTTTAGCAGCATGTAGGAAGGAACAGTCTTTATCTCCCTTGTAATCTTCATCTTTTTCCTCTTCCTCTTTCTTATCTTGTGGGTTAAAGCTTTCCTTGTCCTGCACCTGCAGACGGTCTGAATCCCGGCACTGCGCTTCGCTGATGGATATCGCCACCTGGTGTTGAATAGAGGAAGGAAGGTCGTGTTGCTGTGCAACTTGCCGACACTCTTCTTTCACTCTGGACAACAGTCGCTGAATTTCCCTGTTGGAAGGACACAGACGGCTGGCCTCAATCAGGTCCTCCAATGCCGCATGGAATTGTCTGAAAATTCAAAACATGATAGTTTAAACAGGTTTTAAGAGACAGAAAAAAAAATGTATTCAACTCTAAAATCTAATTCTTTCTACAGAAAATGAAGTAATTTCATCTTAAATTCATTTAGGTTTTATCTCCTTTCCTATTGTGCCACTTAAAAGTGGGACAATAATAGAACCAGGTAACAGATATAAAGATTTTTCAGATGAGGCTGCACAGTGGGGCATGTTGTAGCTCTGTTGCTTTGCAGCAAGAAGGTTTGGGGTTCGATTCCCAGCCTGGGGTCTTTCTGCATGGAGTTTGCACGTTCTCCCTGTGCACATACGGGTTCTCCCCGGTTATTCCAGCTGACTTCCTCCAAAAACAAGACTGTTATGCTACGTTCAGACCGCACACAGCAGAAGCAGCAAACTCGCGCGTGTTGCTTCATTTTTGATGCTTGAACAGGTTTAGTGCTGACGCACCGCTGAAGCATCTCTGCTGCTCTAGCTACAAGATCGAAAAGTGGATCTGATGCGCGTTGGGTGGAGCTACCCTATCTTTTCTTTGTCTGTAACAATGGCAGCTATTTTTGCTGTGATCAGTAGTAAAAAAGTAGTTTTAATACGTCTTTAAGTGAGAAAGTCCACCTAAAAACTTCAGTTCATCCAGATTTACCATCCTGCCTTCAAATATTACTTGTCTGTTGGAGCCACTCAAACCCCCGTGCACCGGCGGTACTGTCACTAGGAGGCCCGTTCAACAGCAGCTCTGGCGCAGTCACCTCTTTGCCATTTTCTGCTACTGTTCGCGGCGGCTAGAAGGTGTTTTTTTAATGTACGTAATCCAAACTGTAGGCACCAGGATAATGAAAGCAAACATATTATTCTGGCAGGTTTCGACATTTTAGATTAATTTAGGTGCTAGTAAACCGTTTTAGAGGAGTAATCATAGTGCTCTACATCAGCAATGCTGTGTCTGTCTCCATGCCAGCTCCCAGATCAACTACTCTGATTGGTTGAATTTTTTCTCCAGCAGCTGCTGCTTCTGAAGCGCATCACGCATCTCGGATGCTCAGGAGCTCATGCTGCTCTAGACGCGCTGCAGGACCTTTTGCCGCACCTTGATGCACGTCAACCATTTACTTTGCATGTAAACTAGCTGATCCTGCTGCTTGCAGTCTGAACGTAGCATTAGGTTACTTGGGTTCACTAAATTGTCCTCACATGTGTGTGTGTGTGTGTGCATGGCTGTGTGACTTTGTGTGTCTCTGTGTTGCCCTGCATCTGACTGGCGACCTGTCTAGGGTGACCTCACCTCCCCCCCTACAGACTGCAGGAGCTAAGCACCGGCCCCTGATGGAATACACAAAAGATGATGGATGGATGGAAGGATGGATGGATGAAGGATGGATGGATGGATGGAAGGATGGATGGATGGATGAAGGATGGATGGATGGATGAAGGATGGATGGATGGATGGAAGGATGGATGGATGAAGGATGGATGGATGGATGAAGGATGGATGGATGGATGAAGGATGGATGGATTTTTCAGATGTGAAAGAACTCCATCAAGAATGTTTACAACCACACGTAAGAAGCAGAACATGTATTGCTGGGTTTTGCTCACTATAATTCAAACCTTTTTTAATGGTCAAAAAAATGTTAAGCTACTTGAGTAATTAAAGTTCTAATTATATTAACCAATTAAAGTGACTAATTTGAATTAATGATACGTACTACTATTAAGACTATGAGAAACAAAAAAATCAAAATTGGTAAACAGCAAAGCAAAAACACTTGGCAGTAACCTACTCTAGGTGTATTCTTTAGCTGTGAGTTTCACCAATTTTATTTCATTTTCCATGGATACGCAGAAAGATTTATATCAGTACGGTGCATCAGGTGGATTTTATCAAGAATTAATTGCTTTAAATCGGTCAAAATGTACCTTTAATTTGACCTGAAAAGCAGTCACACTCATTCAGAAGCTAAAATGACAAAAAGTTAATAAAAGAAAAACACAAAACATATTTGCATACTCTAATTGCTTATAAAATATTTTGCTAATTAAATAATACAATGAGCAATAATTTGAGTGAACTAGAAATAAAGGAACCGGTACCTGCGGCTTCGTTTAGCTCTGGCTCGGGCGTAAAGTGCTTCATAGGATTTGGATTTCAGCTCCAGAGCTTTTGTAGCTAACTCTTCAGCACGGCCGAAATCCTGCCACATAAACACAATATAGCAATGAAATACAAGCATTGATTCATTAAAAAGAAAGCTTTTAGTTTTGCTGGAGATAAAAGACTCACGTTCATTTTGCGACAGCAGCGGGATAGATTGAGCAGCACGCACACTTTAAGCTGTTTGAAAGTCTTTAGCTCATCTCCTGGAAACTTCTGCAGGGCTGACTGATAGGACTGAGCAGCTTCTCTTAAATTTCCTTCCTATGAAAAGACACAAATTAATTCCAAATATCAGTTGCTGTGAATGGGGTTCCTACAGCATAAGGCAAGTTAAATTCAAGACTTTTTAATGCCACTTGAAATAAAAAGTAAGACCAAATTCACCAGAAACACAAGAAAAACCCTCTAGCAACAACTTAACTCAAAGGTTTATTTTAACATAAACCACTGCACTAATGTTTCAAATTTTGAAAAGCTTCCCATACAGGAAGAAAGCTAAAAACACACAAATGACAGATATATTTTAACAATTATTTAACTGAATTCACAAACTTTGTTTTAGCAGGGAACAAAACAAATCAGTTTTAAAGCCCCAACATAACCAGTGCTAAGTCTTTTTAGCAGCTATTTTTCTTTGTATGGTTTTCTTAGTATGTTTGATGGTGATAAGTGGAGGCGTTGCAGAGACAAGGGTGGAACAAAACTGAGAAATACCGGCTGTTTCTCTGTAACTCCATTTTGATGCTTTGTGTTTCGCGTTTCGCATGTGCGACTCCACTGCCTTCATTCCCATCGTTCTGAGCTTGAATGACTTCTTGCACAAAATCCACTGAGCCTCATGTATGTTCTCTGGTTTTAGCCATGGAGAAAACTCTTGGCTTGAGACAATTTTGGTTACATTTACTATTATTATTTTATATTATTTTCTCTTATTTTCCAGACAAAAAGTTAATGGCGCATCTCCCAAATGTCCTGGCCGCAACAACGCTTTTATTGGTTCCGCTATCGGGACGGAACCAATAATGGCGAGCCGTTTTTTTTTTTTTTTTATAAAAAAATAAATAAATATTGTCAATTTGAACGTTTTATTTAGATTACAAAAATAAATCGTAATAAAAATAATCCTATTTATGATGTTTTGAAATTTAAGACCTACGAAAGACTGATTTAAGACATTTTATTACCAATTAAGGCCTTAGTTTTATTTTGAAGAATTCAATGCCTTTTAAGATTTTTTAAGGACCCGTGGGAACCCTGTGTGAAAGTCATTCAGCAGGATACTGATGGCGGGAATTACCTTGTACAGCTTGTCTCCTTCCTGGATCCTTTTACTGAGCAACACCATTAAAATGTCGGGCTTGGAAGTGGCCATGGCCCAGGTTGCAGGTCCTAGAGAGACATTATTATTTAATTTTCTAAAGGTTACAGTATATTTGGCTTGCAAATGAATGGATAGAAGAAACATGTGGACATGATGCCATGTTAAAAAAATATCCCTAGAATCCTTTGCCACAAATGTTTTAAATATTTTACAGGTATTTTTATACATTTACCACAAACATTTGCACCAACTTTGGCAAAACTGTGAAGTGGAAGAAAAATGATACATGGTTTTCAAAAACTTTTTAACAGTTAGTGAAGAAACATCCTGATGATGAAACCTAATGTTGTGCAACTGTGGCAACTGCAGTTTACTTTAGATATAAAAGATAAAAGGGAAACTGGGTCAAACACGCTGAATCATAATCCTACCGATCTTGGCTCCCTTCTTGAGAAGAGCAATGACTGCTGAAGTGTTTTTGCAGCCTACGGCTCGGTCCAGAGGGCGCATCCCGCTGCAGTCCATGTGTTCCACCAACGCTCCATGATCAACTAGATACTGCACCTACAGCATAATGTCGAAAAAAAAATTGGTGTCATTTTTGATCAGGACCTGTCATTTCAATGTCATATCAAAGAGATTTCTATAATTTCCTTCTTTCATCTGAGGAATATTGCAAAAATGAGAAATCTCCTGTCCAGGGGTGATGCTGAGAAACTAGTCCATGCATTTTTACTTCAAGGCTGGACTATTGTAATTCTTTACTATCAGGAAGTCCACAAACTGTAGTTAAAAGCCTTCAGCTGATCCAAAATGCTGCAGCCAGAGTTCTGATGAAAATGAAAAAGAGAGATCATATCTCTCCTATCCTGGCTTCTCTTCATTGGCTTCCTGTTAAATCCAGAATAAAATTTAAAATCCTCCTTCTCACATATAAAGCCTTAAATGGCCAAGCTCCATCTCATATCAGAGATCTGATTGTTCCTTATGTTCCTAACAGAGCACTTCGTTCTCAATCTGCAGGTTTACTAGTGGTTCCTAGAATTTCTAAAAGTAGAATGGGAGGCAGATCTTTTAGTTCTCAGGCTCCTCTCCTGTGGAACCAACTACCAGTTTTAGTCCGTGAGGCAGACACCCTGTCTACTTTTAAGGCTAGGCTTAAAACTTTCCTTTTTGATAAAGCTTCTAGTTAAAGTGGCTCAGGTTTTCTCTTATCTTTCAATACATTATTCTGTAAAAACTCTGGCTTGATATTTGAACGCTTTCATCTGTGTCAGAACCTGAATCATACATTTTTAGTAGTTAGAGTGGCTCAGGGTATCCTGAGCTATCTCTTTAGTTATGCTGCTATAGGTTTAGACTGCTGGAGGACATAGGGACCTCTTTTAATCATCTCTAACGTTCTGCTCTATCTGCTTTTTCTCATAGTAGCTTCATTTGGTCTATTCCTGTTTGGCTGTGACTCCATCCTGGAGAGAAATATCTGCTGCCATCAACACCTTTGTTTATAGATGCTGGAGATCTCTCTTTTTTTGTACGTCTGCTTCTATCTCCTTGAACCCCAGTCAGTCTTGGTGAATGGCCACTCAAACTGTTTCTGCTGTTCAAAGAGTTTTCCTCCCTACTGTTGGTACAAGTATGCTTGGTGTGAGGGATTGCTTTTGAGTAAATGGGTTGATGCAATGAACTGGTTTTCCTTAGATAGAAAGCTTTGAGCCAATCTGACTGGATGAATCTGTACAAAGTGCCTTTAGATGACGTGTGGTGAATTGGTGATATATAAATAAACTGAATTGAATTTAGGAAATAAAGTAATCAAATTTTTTAGATGAATTGATCTGAGCCCAAATATTATCCGTTAAACTCTCAGTAGCTCTCACTGAGTATTCGAGCATTTGTTTTTTCTTCCATCAATTCTCCCGGATAGAGACAGCAACAAGGACAGCTTCATTTGGAAAAGCATCTCTATCTGTAACTAACCACGTCAGGATCCCCACGAAATGCAGCCAGGTCCAGAGGAGTGCGACTACTGCGGTCAGCATGGTTGACGGCTGCCCCTCTCTGCACCAGCTCTCTGACCAATGAAAACTGGCCTTTAAGGCACGCCCAGCTTAGTGCCGTCAAGCCTTCTTTGTCAGTCTGGTCCAGAGAGGCTCCTGGAAACAGAGAAAGAAGAATAATCTTGATCAACGTATTTCACTTTTTTAAACATTTTAAAGAGATTCTAAAGGACAGCCTAACAGGAAGTAGAGTATAACAGTACAGAGGATGTAAATGAAACAACCTGCATTTTCATTCAGCTCCTCAGACTCACTTTCTTTTAAAACCCAGGTGTATTCTTTTTCTTTTTTCATTGCCTATAGAGTAACTTGGGCTTAATCAGAGTGGATGCATAACATCACTAAATATAATTTTTTCAAGTCTTGGAACAGATTCTGAATTGGATTTAGATCTGGATTTGTACTTTGGCATCCTTTGATCAAACGCTTCCAATGCAGCTAAAACTATTGTTGTGTCCAAAATCAATGGCTGAATCCCAAACCGGTCCCTAAACTACTAATATTATTTCTTATTTGTCTCATGCACTGTTCAAACTAATTGCCTTTGGTGTGAATAATATAGTGGTCTAAATCTAGACGGATGTCATGCTCGTCTTTTTAATTATAATTATGAAAAATATAAGAAGGCCCAAGAGGCATGTTACCATGATCCAATAGAAGCTTTGCGGAGGTGATGTGTCCTTCTGAGGCTGCCGTCATCAGAGCTGTTCGACCATGCAGGTCAACCAGATTAATTTCAACGCCGTGGTTCAGCAACAGCTGCGCCACCTGTAACCAAGTAGAGGCAGAGACCCTGAGACCCTGCAGCATTAAACCCAGTTGTATGCTCTGATTGCTTTTTACCTGGCAGTGGCCGTTTCTCACGGCGCTGAAGAGCGGAGTGACGCCCTGTCTGTTGCTTTGCTCAGCAGCAGCTCCTTGATCCAGCAGAAGCCTGCAAACAGGAAGCTGTCCATGTCCTGCTGCAGCAGTCAGAGCTAAAACACACACAGCAACCACACAATCAACAGCCACACTGAGCAGCTATAAGAAACTAAGGTCTGAGCTGGAGTCTTAATCGTCCTGAAAGATTACAATAGCTAAAAACGAACAGCCATTCAGTAAAATCTACTAATTTAACTCACATCTATTCAATTCAATTCAGTTTATTTCTATAGCGCCAATTCACAACACAAGTCATCTCAAGGCACTTTACAGTTCGAACCAGATCATAAAGTTAGATTGAATAAAGGTTTTCCATCTAACAAAAACCACTTCATTAGATCGACTCATTGACTCGAGGGAATCCCTCACAGTAAGCATGCTTGTAGCGACAGTGCAGAGGAAAAACTCAGTTTTAACAGGAAGAAACCTCCAGCAGAACCAGCTCCCATGTCAGAGGATGAAAAAGAGCACATCCAGCCAGCCCAAATTCAGAGAAACAGGACTACACTGAAAAACAGGCCGATCTCCAACATCTGTTTTCCAGATAAAGAGTCGCCACATCCTGTTTCTCTTCCATTAGGTTCCATTCTTTCAGATTTTATCGCCAGCTGTAGGGCTGAACGATTTTGCCAAAAATCTTAATTGTGATTATTTTCAAACAATATTTAGATTTTTCTGTGACAGTCTTTTTTACTAGTGATGGGGCCAGCAACACTGATGCATCAGTGCATGCATGGAGCCCATAGAGCAAATTACTGCATCGGTGCGCTGGTTAATTAAAGAAAGTCATTTGACTGATACAGGAGTTTCTAACTGACTGACTCACTAAACTGTGTTTAAAAGTATCTGTCAACATGATGCATCTGCTAAAAAAAATGTATCATCTTTTGCGGTTTATCATTCAAATTATCAAGAATATTGGAGCAGCCTAAAAGGAGTAGGAAAAGTTTCAGCCGATTTTTTTCGTTGTGTCATCCTTTTCCTCTCAGTCTCAACTTTTCTGAATTGAAGTTAATTTCAAATTTAGTCCATTTACTTTTGTTTTTTAACTGTACTTATTGTTTTAAAAAACATGATTTAAAGTCCACGAGCATCCTCATTTAGATTTTCCCCTAAATTTTCATGTGTTTATATATGTTTACATTATTTATTGGTTGCATCTAAAAATATCTAAGATGTTTTCAATTTAAAAATACATATGAAATGATACAACATAACCCACAATAACTTAAGTGATATCATTGCGCTCTGGCATCAAATCAATAAAGTTTAGGATTTCTGCGTTACATTAACGCACAGTCTACTGTGTGTATATAGCTTGTGTGTGTATATACAGGTGCTGGTCATAAAATTAGAATATCATGAAAAAGTAGATTGATTTCAGTAATTCCATTTAAAAAGTGAAACTTGTATATTATATTCATACATTACATACAAACTCATATATTTCAGATGTTTATTTCGTTTAATTTTGATGATTACAAATGACAACAAATGAAAATCTCAAATTCATCATATCAGAAAATTAGAATATTGTGAAAAGGTTCAAAATTGATGGCCCCTGGTGCCACACTCTAATCAGCTAATTAACTCAAACCACCTGCAAAAGCCTTTAAATGGTCTTTCAGTCTAGTTCTATAGGCTACACAATCATGGGGAAGACTGCTGACTTGACAGTTGTCCAAAAGACGACCATCGACACCTTGCACAAGGAGGGCAAGACACAAAAGGTCATCGCTAAAGAGGCTGGCTGTTCACAGAGCTCAGTGTCCAAGCACATTAATAGAGAGGCGAAGGGAAGGAAAAGATGTGGTCGAAAAAAGTGTACAAGCAAGAGAGATAACCGCACCCTGGAGAGGATTGTGAAACAAAACCCATTCAAAAATGTGGGGGAGATTCACAAAGAGTGGACTGCAGCTGGAGTGAGTGCTTCAAGAACCACCACACACAGACGTATGAAAGACATGGGTTTCTGCTGTCGCATTCCTTGTGTCAAGCCACTCTTGAACCACAGACAGCGTCAGAAGCGTCTTGCCTGGGCTAAAGAGAAACAGGACTGGACTGCTGGTGAGTGGTCCAAAGTCATGTTCTCTGATGAAAGTAAATTTTGCATTTCCTTTGGAAATCAAGGTCCCAGAGTCTGGAGGAAAAGAAGAGAGGCACTTCATCCACGTTGCTTGAAGTCCAGTGTAAAGTTTCCACAGTCAGTGATGGTTTGGGGTGCCATGTCATCTGCTGGTGTTGGTCCATTGTGTTTTCTGAGGTCCAGGGTCAACGCAGCCACATACCAGGAAGTTTTAGAGCACTTCATGCTTCCTGCAGCTGACCAACTTTTTGGAGATGCAGATTTCATTTTCCAACAGGACTTGGCACCTGCACACAGTGCCAAAGCTACCAGTACCTGGTTGAAGGACCATGGTATCCCTGTTCTTAATTGGCCAGCAAACTCTCCTGACCTTAACCCCATAGAAAATCTATGGGGTATTGTGAAGAAGAAGATGCAATACACCAGACCCAACAATTCAGAAGAGCTAAAAGCCACTATTAGAGCAACCTGGGCTATCATAACACCTGAGCAGTGCCACAGACTGATCGACTCCATGCCACGCCGCATTGCTGCAGTAATACAGGCCAAAGGAGGCCCAACTAAATACTGAGTGCTGTACATGCTCATACTTTTCATGTTCATACTTTTCAGTTGGCCAACATTTCTATAAATCCTTTGTTTTTATTGGTCTTCAGTAATATTCTAATTTTCTGATATGATGAATTTGAGATTTTCATTTGTTGTCATTTGTAATCATCAAAATTAAACAAAATAAACATCTGAAATATATGAGTTTGTATGTAATGTATGAATATAATATACAAGTGTCACTTTTTAAATGGAATTACTGAAATCAATCTACTTTTTCATGATATTCTAATTTTATGACCAGCACCTGTGTATATATATATATATATATATATATATATATATATATATATATATATATATATATATATATATATATATATATATATATATTCTATCTTATTTTGTTTTTTGTCTGCACCAACAACACCAAGTCAAATTTCTTGTAAGTGCACACCTACTTGGCAATAAACTTGATTCTGATTCTGTTTGTCAAATAAGCTGCCTGTAGTGTCTTTAAATGTCCAGCAGGTGTCAGTATTCTGTCAGACAGTATCAATGCAGGATCAATACAGGTTGGCAATGAGTCCAAAGGCTTCAAGATGCCTCATTAATCATCATTACTTTTTACCAAGCATAAGCATGTTGATGTTCTACCCCACGGTTTCAGGTTTTTTTCATGACCCTGAGAGCCTGCTTGTTCAGACTCCTGTGTCGCAGAAGTCTTGTTGTTATTTAAAACGCTTTGAACTTTCCTACTGACCGTCTTACCTTGAATACTGGGTCCATCTGTCCCGTTCTAAGACAGTTTTAATCTTGTTTAATGTATAGCGATTAAAAAATTGAGTAACTCTGCAATTTGACACCTGCATTTTCCTAAATTGCTACTATATTGCCAATGCCATCAATTGCATAGCCCTAATTGGGTACCTGTTCAGTTAGTGAAATGGCAGATCATATGGAAACGATAACTGCTGAACTTTAAGCTTAACATCAGAAGTAAAAAAAAAAAAAAAAATTGTCACTTTAAACATAGAATGGTAATTGGTCAGGCCCACCAACATTGGATAACACAATAAAATGAAGGAAAAAAAGTAAAAACGTAAGAACATTTCTGGTTGCAATAAGGCTGACGCAGCTTTGATGCTCTCATGTCTCTTCCCCTTTTTTTGCAATAAAAATTAGAATAGTTTTTAAAGTTAAAGACTTTACTGACACTGATGCCCTTCATGGCTGCTAAATGCAACTCAAGTCTAAAGCAAATTCCAATTTTGTAAAATGTCCACCAAGATGGCAGTATCTACTCCACAAAGTTTACTAACTTCTCAGTGAAATGTTAATTTGTTTCACGGGGAACCAGGGAACGCTGCTGAATTCAGCTCAGTAAAGAATGAATGAAATTATAAAAATGTGAAAAGCCCTTTAAATCTGAATGCAAAACAAAAATCCTTCTATACCACAGGTCCACCATGATCTGAGGTTAATGCGTCTATATTCTGATGACAGGGTTTTGTTCAGACACATCCTCTCCCTCCAATGTGTATATTAGCAACATAATGTGGTCCTATTCATTCAAATATATACTTTCCCATCATTTGTCTGCAACCACGTGACTAAAGTTTGGGAGTGATGGCCTAGTGGTTAGAGCAGTGTGCTTATGCTCTGAGAAGGTTGCAAGTACCCGGTTCAACCCCCCAGCCTGCACTCTGGGTTCCTGAGCAAAGACCCTTAACCTCACACTGCTCCCCCTGGCGCTGCACAATGGCAGCCCACTGCTCATCAAGGGGGGGGGTTAAATGGAGAGTGAATTTCCACAATGCGTGACAATAAAGGAATTTACATTTACAAAATGGGTCTAAAGGCTGATTTATACTTTGAAACTAGGTCGTCTGCGTAGATGGCGCGGTGAACACAGACACGTTCCCGCCCACCAAAACGACTCGTGAAATTGGACCAGCTAGAAGAGCGAGGTGCGCGAGAACGGTGGGACCGTTTTTCCACCTGGATCCCCGCTCTTCCTCACCCTCATGTCCCTCCGCTGTTGGACAATCGTTTTCACTGCCTTGGTCGTATTTAGACCCACAGCTAGTTCGTGATTTTCCCCTTTTGAGTTGTGGCATGGAATAAACAGCGCAGACCAAACTTTAATATTGAGTATAAAGCAAAAATGTCTGTCATACCTGCGACATGCTCACTGCGACACACTGCTGCAGGAAGATAACCAGCCCTTAACTGTCAATGTTTACTTTCACATTGCCTGGTAAAGATATTCACGGTCAAAATTTCATTACAACAAAAAACTGTTTTATTGGGGTTCCAAGAGACGTAGCAAAATAAGTAATGTATAACCGTAAAGTAAGACATTGATTTAGGGCTGAAACAATTGGATTAATCGATTAATGAAATAATCGTCAACCAATTTAGTTAACTGCAATATAGAGAGTCTACAAAATGACTTTAGCTGAAAGAGCAACAAACTTAGAGAAGTAATTATACATAGATTATAGGGCTGGGTATTTTTGCCAAAGTCCTGAATCAATTCAATTTTGATTAATACATTTCTAAATCAATTAATTTTGATTCGATCTGTTTTTACAATAATGAAAGTGTTTCAACTGTTTTTCAAAATGCTGTATTTTTTCCTGTCATATTAAACACCAAGTGCAAACTTGTAAATCAGACAGTTTAAACTTGAGATGTGAGCAAAACTGTCTCAAAAGAACAAACTTATTTGTGAAAAGTGAAAACGTGAAGCCTCACTCGAGCGAGCAGACGTGACACAGAGGGGACACAGCAGATGTGTGAGCTGCCTGAACTGCAGCATTTTAACAACTACAGGGTGTTTTCTGGTCAGCCCCCATTTGTTAATGTCTTCAGTCAACCTATTTGCTATATTTGCAGCTGTCTGGCTTGAAGTCCTCTTGAGTGCATCTTTCCTGCTCATTTGAATGTGAACGTCACGCCTCACTATAAAAATAATCAAATAATCTCATTCCCTAGACATTGATTTTGCAAAAATGAACAGGAATCGATCCGAAATCGATTAAATCAATTTTTTACCCAGCCCTTATAGATTGTACAAATATATATTAGCATTTAGGTTTAAGGTTTAGGTTTTTTTCATTTGTCAAAATCCTCTATCCAGAAAATCTTAAGTTTCACCTGGTTTAATTTAGTAAAAAATCTTCTTCAAGGAACATTTGGCTATCTGATTATTAATCAAAAAATTATTGGAAGATTAATCAACGTGCAAAATAATCATTAGTTGCAGCCCTACATGGAATCCTTTTTTACAAAGGGAATTTGAAAAGTCTTATTTACCCTCCTGAGTTGTTACTTTAGAGCACCACCTTTCACTGCATGTACGTCTATATTTGGGGAATGACTATCAGCGTTGCAAAATCCAAGACTGCTTTAGAAAATAGTTTTCTTTTTTGCTAAAAAGCTCAAGAGGAGTCAGATGGGATACAGAATTTCTAAACTGCAGCCTTTCCACGGATTCTAAATGGAAACTGGTCTGTTCTATTACATTAGTAATTTTTTGCTTTAAATCATAACATCAAAGCTATGATGTGCATTTAGAGCAATAGATTTCCATTTTTTTACAACTTCTAACAAGTTTTCTTTAGAGATTACGCTGCATGATCAATATGATGATTTCAGACCTAAATTCTTTTTGCTGAAAAATAAAATCTGCACATCTTGTCACATGGTGGGGAGGAGGAGTCTGAGATAATGTGCTCTCTTAGTTTTCTGCCACATGTTATGTTTTGCATGTAGAACAGAGAACCCCTCTGTGGCCTCATCTGTAGCACCCTCTTCCACATGAGTCTTCTTTATCCCCTTCACAGCTTGCAGCAAACAACAAACACTGCTTTTCATGGCTCTTTTTCAGTGGCCCTAACCTGACTAAGATAGGTTGGCAGCAAAGTATTTGTGTAATTGAAAACTGAAAAACCACAACCCTCCCCCTCTGTTCAGTGATGTTTTTTCTCTTTTCACAACCACAACCCTCCCCCTCTGTTCAGTGATGTTTTTTCTCTTTTCACAAACATGGCTTCCTTCACGCCTCTTTAGAACCATCTGTCTTCTCCGTTCAAAATCTGAGCATATTGCTCTTCAGATGTGTGATTGAAAGTCCAGGTACCTTCCAGTTTAAACCTGTTTTATGGCTGCTATGAACTGCATGACTGAGAATTTGCAAATGAGTCTATTGCCCCAAAAAAGGTACATTTATGTGTACAGATAATGAGTTTTGCCTGACAACTCTGTGCGAACCCAGAGGGACTCCCCTTGCATGTTTCTGCAGTCAAAGCCCCAGCAGCTGCACCATGTTCAGTGCGATTCCACCGTGAGGGTATCATATAAAGGTTCATGCATAGAAATCATATTTTTGTTCAACTCTAAGTTATCCACAGCTTAGTTTTGATTCGTGACGTAATTTTTCTGTGCATGAAAAACGTTTGTAAAGCCTGGTATTTTCTGCAATGGACTGGCGATCTGTCCAGGGTGGACCCCGCCTCTCGCCCGTAGACAGCTGGAGATAAGCAACAGCAGCCCTCGCGACCCCACTTGGGGTTTAGCGTGTCTGAAAATGGATGGATGGATGGATGGATGGATGGATGGATGGATGGATGGAGCCTGGTATTTTACTTAGAACCTGTGGCAACTGTGTTGAGATGAACTTTGTTGTGACTCATACCCGTCTCTCCCCAGACACAATCATATGAGTTAATCTCAGGTCTCTGCTCCTCTTTCTCATCTTCCTCTGGAAGATCCAGGAGGTATGACACAATCTACATAAAAGACATAAAGTGTATACTGCGTTCATTATAAATATTATAAATAGACAAATGTTCCATGCTATTGTCACAGATTTTCACCTCTGAATGCCCCATGCTGGCTGCTGCCACCAGTGTCTGTTGGACGGCCTGGCTCCGGCTCATTCCTCTACAGCAGGAAGTGCAATTCCACTCAGGGCTCTTCAACAGGAGGCGCAGCACCTCAAGGTGACCGTGCTGGGCTGCTAGAACCAGAATGCACCGGCCTGAATTATCCACATGTCCAACCTGAGTGCACATTGAGGGGGAGACGTACGGCGGGTTCAGTTTTAGAAAATAAACTAAAAAGGTTAGATATTCTTTTTGTTGATTCTCTTTTTAATAAGAAATTTCCCTACAGCTACCTTGGCCTTGTGTTGACAAAGCATTGTGACAATGTCCAAGTGACCGGCTGCAGCAGCAAATCCCAGGGCAGTTAAACCATCATTTGACTTAGCATCCACCTATATATAAGACAGAAAGTCCTCATGTTTGGTTAATGTCTTTCCATTTCATCAATTCCAGAAGGTACAATTAAGAAAGAAAATAAATCACGTGAGCTCCATGGTCCAGCAGCAGTGCTACTGCATCTTTGTGGCCGAGGTGAGAATGGACACACAGTAAGGGAGCACCATTGCTGACATTGGTTTGGTAATCCACATCCGCTCCAGCCATAATCAGGAGTCTGCTCACCTGGATGGGAACGGGAGAAAAGGAATACACCATCACTCCCAATACATAAAACTGCCACCGTTTGTGTCTAATCCTACCTTTATATTGGGAGTGTAGAGGTTGCGAAGCGATGAAAGAACAGGGCTAAGGCTTCCTGTGCTGTACGACATCCACAGCCCCTGAAGAACAGAGGAGGACACTCCAAGCTTCTTACTCAAACCCTGAAAGAGAGCGGGTACAGCTAGAGTTACAAGACCTTTATTCCTGTAATGGTGCCATTCATCTGCTATCTATTCTTACATTTCCAAGTTAAAACATTTATTTTAAACAGTATTAGTATTTTTGGGTTCATGAGGCATCATGAAACATTTCGACAATTGGCGAATTGGATTGACATTGTGTCGATACTGTGTCACTGAATACTGACACCTGCTGGACATTTAAAATCCCTACATGTACCTTTCACAGGTTAAACTGATGCTGATTTGATGACTTATAACAGGATTTAAGTCATAGTTTGCTATAATGTATTATTTCATATCTTAAATTAAAAATATGTTTTTAGATTGATTTTTAGACAATCCATAAATTTGAACATATAACGGGAAAATTCCAGTGAAAAAGTAAATAAGGATGTTTGTGAACTAGGATTTATTTAGTATTCATTTAAAAATAATAACTATAGTAAGAACAGCAATTTAAAATCCTTTAAGTTCAGATAAGTTGAGTGATAATTGAGAGGACCAGCATTACACAACAAGACAATTAAAACAAATACAAGCTCAAAATGGTCCCACTCAGCTGAAACCTTTCTTTTGCCTTCCGGCTGATCCATTTTTCTTGATTCATTTGATGATAAAGATCAGAGATCATTTTGGCAGATGTGTTGCATTGACAGACGCGCTTATAAACACAGTTTAATGTGTCAGTTAGAAACAGCTCCTGTATTGGTCATGTTGAAACGACACGCACACAGACGCAGGGTTAAGCTCTATTAGCTCGACATATATGCAGACGCTTCAGTGTTGCTGGACCAATCAATAATTATTATATTAAAAATTTTTCCTTGCTTATTTTTGGCCTTTCTCTGGATCTGATATCATTTTAAAGGCATAGAAAGATACTTTGCCATCCACCACATGTTAAGTGCAAATACTGGAGTAAAAACCAAACAATAACGTTAGGTAATTACATGCAATTCTCTACAGTCTGTCTGTGCCTGTGAGGATTCATCCTCCTCTGTATTAATGAATTGTTAAATTTTATTTTCCTTTAGATCTTCTGCTCTCAGCTTGAGAAGAATCTCCACAGCATGATGCTGTCACCATGGTGTTTCATGCTAGAGATGGTGTGTTCATCAATATGTGTTGTTACTGTAGTCTTCTAAAGTGTTTGCATGTAGGACAGAAAATGTAGGTTTTGTCTCATATAAAGTGAGCGCCTTCTTCCAGATGTTTGCTGTATCCCCTGGATGCCTCATGAAGGCAGATGCTTGAAACTGATGGCCTGATCTAGTTTCTATGTAATTATACTCATAATCATCTGACCATTAAGGGTGACTCATCGTTTGCTAGCATTTATTTTTTATTTGTAAATACAGAAAAAGAAAATCACAATAAAGGAGCAATCAATCCAAAGTAGATTACAGTGAACTCCTCCCCTATAATCTCAATAAACCTGCACTTCTGAAACTGGTAATGTAGTACTACTATTCCAGATTGCAAAAATACAAGGAGAGAAAGGTGTGACATCAGTTTCAAGCCAATGTGCAGTGAGCATCATACAAGTCAAAAACATAAAAAAAAAAAATAAATTTGATGAGATACAGTTGTTCATGAAACTCTTACAGCTTGACTCCTGAGTAAAGTCTCTTGCCTTAAGCCTAATTTAATTCTTAAGTCTGCATCTTCAGTGCAACTCAGGCACCAGTTTAAGTCCGAGTCCACGTCTCTTCTTTAGATATGAATTACATGGCATTCTTTAACAGTTTGTACAAAAACAGCAATGAACTGTGTCTAACTCAGTGAGATTAATGTTCATCAGACTCAGGGCCAAGATTTACTTTAAAAGACAACATCTAAAAAAAAGTCACCATGCCGTTAGCTTGACAAAGGACTTTCCATTATCAGAGTTTAGGTTAAACGTTAGAATTATACTGTAGTGTGTGGGTGTAAAATAAAAGAACATCAGCAGTGATTAGCAGCAGAGTTAGGTTATAAAAGCAAACTCTGAAAGGACTAAAAAAGAATTGCTTCAGTGATAAATACTGACCTTGTAGATATGAGCTTTCAGAATGTGATGCCCCAGCTCCAGCGTCTGCTGTTGGCTTAGCTTTCCTTCCTGTCTGCAGAGCCAGAACGCCAGCAAGGTGTGTCCACTTCTAGAAAAGATGGATCAGAAAAAAAGATAGCCATACTATTTCCTGACACCAACCTGGTCAAATATCAGAGAACACAAATAGCGAATTAATTTTTTTAGGACTTTACAGATATGAGTTTTACTCTCAAAAAGCTCTGACTAAAGTTCTATTAAAGTCAGTTGTTAAATACTGACAAGGCCATCATAGTGGGGAGATTTCTGTTGAGTTAAAGAGTCGATGCCATCTGCTGGTTTTCCTTAGATAGAAAACTTTGAACCAATCTGACTGGATGATCTGGTTGATTTTCTCTCTGCCTTTTGAGATGACATGTGCTGTAAATTAGCACTCTATAAATAAACTGAATTGAAAAACTCACAACTTATTCTCAATGTGTTGTAATATTGTTAAGATGACCACATTGATTTATTGATATTTGCAGACAACACACTTCCAGCTTTGTTTCAACATACCTTGGGTCACAGAGAAACCTGTCATCCTGTCCCTCCTCCCTCCAAACTAGCCACTCCCTGAAGGAGGCATGGTTAAGCACCCTGCTGCCATCACTCCTCCGTAGCAGGAAAGAAGAGAGCTGCTCTAGCCGCTGCATGAACTCCCCCTTCTGGATTTTCTCTTCAGTGAGACAACCTGCGTTCACCGCTTCAAACAGCTGTGAAAACAGATCTTTAGTCATACTGAGGCTCATTAAAGCGGCACCAAGACTTAGTATTTTTTGACACTGTGAAAGCTAATGCATACCTGCTGGTCGCTCAGCGGGTGAAGGGAAGACACAGTCACATTGAGTAGAGGCAGCACTCTTTGAAAAGCTGACTGTGTAGGGAATCGCATGTTAAGCTGCAACAGGTACACCTCCGCTAGAGTCACCGGAACCACCTGCAACCATATATGGCTGATCATTATTTCATGCCGTTTACATTCTGATGTCTTTCTTTGTAAAAAAGAGTTACTACAATCCAAACCCTACCTTGAAGCTGGAACTCTTCAGAACAAGATAACCTCTTTCAATTAGGTCAAGTGTGAGTTTCAGGTAGAGAAAAGAGCCTTTGCTCAAGCTCTTAAAGTGGCTGATGAGCTTGGTCAGTGCTGTGCTGTCAAGGCGACCATTGCCAAGTGATACGTTGCTCTGAATCTCAGGACTGTTGTGGATACGGTGCATCAAGTACGTCTGAAACGCACCAAGAAAGATACATACAGAACTGGGTAAAATAATTTGCCCCTTCAACAAAATTCTCCCTTTTTAAAATTTTTTAGACTAATTTTTCAAGGTGTCGCATATATAGATACTCTTTCAACAACTCATGCTGCGCCTAACAATCTGAAAGCAAAATAAAAAAAAAAATAGTGGGAAAAAATAAACCTGAAAATATTATGGTAAAAGTTTAGGCAATTTAAAACATTTAAGTTAGTCTTTAATATTTATTTAATGTGCTCCAAATGTGCAGGTGTTGGTAAATCTCAAATCTTATCTGCCAATCCCTCTCTTTGTTCTTGAATAGGCAGACGCACGACGCAGAATGTGGGGGCTTGGTTATGAGCAGTCAGATGTTGAACTGAATCCTTCGTTATCAACAGTAGGCGATACAGAAGGCGGAAGTTACGTAGGTGGCAGAATGCAGGAATGTGTCCATCAATCCACCAGCAAATAAGAGGAACAACACGGAAGCACAGAAGAAGAAGTGCCTATAGTTATAGATATTTATATAACTGCTAGATTTCTTATGGTGGCTTGTATGCATGGGTGTCCATATCTGTCCAAAAAGTAGGGATAATTTCCAATTATTCTTTAAATGGTACAGGCATTACTTACTGCAAATCAATTATGTTTTGCATTAAGCCCTCAGGAAATAAAAATTTAGAAAATGACAAAAGCCTTTTTCCTACTTGGCTAGTTGCCATCGTTTGCTTACATACAGCTTATCAATTAGAGACAGAGCCAAGCCTAAAGCTGATTCTAACTGACATTACAGACAGGATATAAAGCTTTTTCTGCTGCACTTTATTTTCAGTAGCTTGTGTGCTGCAAGGATGTTGAGTCCAGTGCGAGTTGAGCAGGCAGTAGACTTCAGAGTTTAGCATGTGCCAGACAAATGTTAAGCAAGCACCCAAATGTCTGAAATGCACACTAGTGTCACTACTCTTAGATCTCCTACTGTGCCTTGAAACTGACAGCACAGCATATTAAAACAGGCAGCAATCAGTTTCAGGTATAGCCGCTCAGTGGTTCAAAGGTGCTGGCTTTCTTTCATCCTGTAAAGCAAACTGGTGAAGTTTCTCAGTCATCCAGGTCATAGGCATTCCAAAAAAGTAAAAAAAAAAAAAACTATCCACTGGAGTTGGATTTCCGAGTCTGAAGACATTTCGCTTCCCATCCAGGAAGCCTTTTCAATACAAAATATCAGAATTAGCTTTGAGCTCCAAGCTTCATATAAACATGCAAATTGAACCAGTTTAATAACCGCATTCATCTGAAAGTGGTTATTTGAATCTACTCAAGATGCCGTTGTTTGATATCAAAGTTTGACTAAGATTCCAAATTAATTCAAAAGAATTGATTTAGAAAATCCTGATTGTTTTTTAAGGAAGCAATTGTTTTTTTTTTATGTCATAGACACAAACAAGTCAATTTGGAAAAATCTGGAGAGGCAGTTGGTAAGGTTACCTGCAGGTCCTGGTCTATGGCATTTTTCTCCTTCTGGTCCAGAGAAATATGGTGAAAAGGTAGAGAGCGAACAATCTCCTGAAAAAAAGAAAAAACCCAGAAAAAAACAATGTTGGTCAGTACTATATTTGCAGAAATAATTTAAGTGTTGGAAATGGAATTAGATTGTAAAAATGCTTCAGATAAATTGATTACTAAGTGTGAAAAACTGTTTCTAGAACTGTATTATTATTACTTTTAAATAAACAATCAGTATTTTTTCCCTTAGACCTCTATTTGTTTAAATTATAGGACTTTTGACCAAGTACATGTAGATGGAGAAAATATTGATCAATTCCTTTATACTACTGTAAAAATGAATGTAAGCAAGAAACAAAGCAAATTAAAGAGATGTAAGATATTATGATTAATGCAATTATATTTACATTTTTATTTGATGCTAGAAATTTACTTCAGACTAAAAAGGATGACTAAAAAACTGAATCTTTTAAAACCCAAACAGAAAAGCTTTTTCAGATTCAGTTAAAAAAATTCATTAATTTAATGTTAAATCACATAATGAAATAAAACTAAGCAAAGCAATGATAACTTTTGTTATGCCTTGATAAGTAAAGCACAATAATAAAATTATGTAGCAACGTCAACAGTTTAGGGTGTTTGGTATGTTTGTAAAAACAGAAACAACACTGCAAAATTTTAAAATCTATTTAAGTAATTTCTTCTTGAAATAAGTGCATTCTTTGCCAATGGAACGATTTACAGACGATTTCCAATTAAAATATGAAAAATATAAAATATATTCTTATGTAATGTATGTATTTTCTTATTTTAAGAGTAAAAATATTCATTCCATTGGCATCATTTTATTTACCAACTCAATTTAAAGGTAAATGCACTTATTTTAAGAAATATTTACTAATTTCTAGATCATGTTTGCAGTTAAAAAATTTAGAGAAATTGTACTGTCTAGTTCATTCCAATGCTAGAATTTATTTGCAACAAATTGACATGCAGTTCTGTGTAGTACGTACAGAGGGATTTTTTGCACTAACAGGAACAGGAATACACATCAGGAACGTTTATAGTCTAGCTTTAAGAACAGAAGAATATTTAAATTGATTGATGTTTGAAATGCTTTGATGGATTGTGGGTGTGGGTAATGGGTACCTGCTGACTGGTCCTGACAGTAACAATGACCTTCAACCATGGAGGAAATTTCTGAATGTTTTTGGAGAGAAAGGAGGCTATTGTATCTCCATAATCAGGCCGGTGAAACTCAGCCTCATTAAGCCCATCAATAAGTACAATAAATTCTTCCTCATCATTGGTAATTTTCCTCTCTGTAAAGGAAAAAAATAAAAACACAAAATATAGAACAAAAGGTGGCTCAGACTCAAAGTGCTTTCTTAAATGTTGCACTTGTACCTTTGTGCAGAGTATCCAGGGGTTCTAGTATTCCTTTCTGTAGGGCTGAAGTCGGATCCTGAATGCAGTAGCGTAGATTGAGCATGCTTTGCAGCTGTGGTGAACGATGTAACAGTTCTCGATAGGCGGCCAATTGAGGGGCAGCACTCAGCATGGCTGCCATGTTATGGACGTACTCAGGAACTAGACAAGTACGACAGTCATCAGCCTGACAGAAGTGATAAGACACTACCTGCAAAACAAATGGGTGAGGTCATCTGTTCAGACTTTGCTAAAAAGTGTCAGATTAAAAAAAACCGATGGAATACCCCTAGAAACATTCACATTATAAATCCCTCAGTTTGAATCTTTTCACAATTTCTCAAGTTAAAATCAAAACTTTTAATATATTGCCAAAGGTATTTGTTTCTTTGTCCTCATCTAAATAAAAAACTTAGTAAATAAGGTGTAATATAAGTTGGACTTGCCCTTTGCTGCAGTAAGAAGCCCAGTTCAGTTTTGAAGGCTTTCCAAAAGTGTTTATTGATGTGTTGAAAGGAATTACTCATCATTCTTTCACAGGTGCGCTGAGCTTGGAAAATGTGGCTTTGTTTGTCGTGTTTGCTATCAATCATGTCGAAGCTGTTCTGAGGCCATAAATATGTGCAGGCCAGTTAAGGCCCGAACACGCTGGTTGTGTATGACTTTTTAATCTCCTATCCTTTTTTCTCTATGTCAAACTGACTGCATATAGAGAGGTTCCGTCTAGTCAGGGTGAGAATATCTGTGCAGATTATTTTCACTTCTGTCTCTGAGCTACACGCAAATTAAAACTATTTCCCACATTTGACTTAGACAGAATATCAAGTTATTGAAAATTCTTTAAATAAAAATAAAAACCACCAACGCATTCTATAAATCAAAGCCCCACTTAACAAGTAGAACAGATAGAGAATGTTCATTTGCCTAATGAAAACATAATGAAAACTATGTCTAAAGAAAAGAAACATTGCAATAAACGCCGTGTGGCTGTTTATATGTGACTGAGACAGTGATTCTCAGAGAGAGGGTGCCTACGTGGGAAGTTTATCTGAGTTATTTTGTTTTTTGCAAGGTTCAAAGAGATAATTTTTTTTCTTTATCTGTTTTCCGTCCTCCTGAACTCCTATCATGGATAAAGTTTTCTTTAATGTGTCATTCATTGTTTTTGCACAACTCTGTCCCACTTGCTATAAAAAACTCATTCCCTGTGCGATTAACAGATTTTGTATTTTCCCCCCAAAGGGGATGTTTTATTTTGTAACCTTGTCTCTCTTCCTGTCAGACCCATCAAATTGCAGCTGCATTGCAGCATAGTCTGACTTCAATATACCTGGAGTGTATCTCAGTCGGACCAACACAGCTCCCTGCAGAAAAACATGTCGGGTGTGATCATCCCCATCGACTATCAATGAGCATTAAACGCCACAACCTCCAAGGCACAGTTTTCTGTTGGATCAGACCCAAACTCAGATTCGGTGTGTTCTGGCTTTTAGTGTTTTCCACAGATGGGCCCCAGAAGGCTCAGTGGTGTTCGTTTCTGTTTAGCTCTCTTCAGTCAGTTAACCTTGAAAACCCAGGAAAATTAGGTCCCAAATTCTAAAGGGAAGTTCAGTGTAAATACAGCCGTTCTGTGAGAGCATTACACCTGAGAGACTGGACATTTATCTTTTATCAGACTTGTTGAAGTCCAGGAGTTCTTTGCTGAAAAACATAAACTGTATTTTTAGAACTTTTAAGCAGAAATCCAAACCGACAGGCAAACCAGTGGGTAGCTGGAAAGAATTTGAGTTTCTGCCTTTAAGCACATCTCTTTTTGTTCTTGGCTAAAATTTCCACGCTTGTAGATGGATGTGGCAAAAACAATTTTTAAGAAGTGCCGTGTTTCAGTGTCAGTGTCTTTTTCTGAAATCTTTACCCTGAAATAACACCTTAGGTCTGAGTAAAACTGATACCATATTCCTCTCCTGAGGGTAGTGTGGGCCGCCAGGAAATAAAGGCCATCAGAAAAGACTGGCCACAGTCACCCTAACTATGTTATTATATATACTGTATGTTTATTTTTGGTAGTATAGTAGAACTGATTTAATCTGATTTAATTGAACCCAAAAACATAAAAGACAAAGAGGTACATATCTAATGAGTGAGTTTTGTCTCTAACATGGTTTGTGAAGCATATTATCTCCCCACTTATGTTTGTTTTCTTTACTTTTTATTATCATTAAAGGCTGAGAATGTGTATTCTGTAATTTACAGTGTTGGGCACGTTACTTTGAAAAAGTAATTAGTTATAGTTACTAGTTACTTCTCCCAAAAAGTAACTGAGTTACTCCACAACAAAAGTAACTAGTTACTAGTAAAAGTAACTATTGCATTACTTTTGCGTTTCTCGCCCCCGTAACCCTCACCACCCGGCCCCCACCTTCTCGCCGTGTGTTTCTAAAGCCAGCTGAATAGAGCGGACGACAAAGACAAGAACCTGCAGAGAGTTTAGCATTTATTGCAACTCAACGTAAATGACATCAGGGGGGAACGCTATCTGCTTAACATGGGGGGGACGGTATCTGATGCGGTGTAAATATCAGGGTGCATTACCTCTACTCATGGGTGTGACGTTTTTTAACAGGGCATTCAGATCTGGTTAGTTTATGAAATTAATAACTGGGGATGTCTAATTCTGAAATCCTGTGTGTTTGGGTTGTTATTGATACTGCAACATCCATCTATCTATCTATCTATCTATCTATCTATCTACACTATATTGCCAAAAGTATTTGCTCACCCATCCAAATTATTGGAATCAGGTGTTCCAATCACTTCCATGGCCACAGGTGTATAAATTCAAGCACCTAGGCATGCAGACTGTTTTTACAAACATTTGTGAAAGAATGGGTCGCTCTCAGGAGCTCAGTGAATTCCAGCGTGGAACTGTGATAGGATGCCACCTGTGCAACAAATCCAGTCGTGAAATTTCCTCGCTCCTAAATATTCCACAGTCAACTGTCAGCTGTATTATAAGAAAATGGAAGTGTTTGGGAACGACAGCAACTCAGCCACGAAGTGGTAGGCCACGTAAACTGACGGAGCGGGGTCAGCGGATGCTGACGCGCATAGTGCGAAGAGGTCGCCAACTTTCTGCAGAGTCAATCACTACAGACCTCCAAACTTCATGTGGCCTTCAGATTAGCTCAAGAACAGTGCGCAGAGAGCTTCATGGAATGGGTTTCCATGGTCGAGCAGCTGCATCCAAGCCATACATCACCAAGTGCAATGCAAAGCGTCGGATGCGGTGGTGTAAAGCACGCCGCCACTGGACTCTAGAGCAGTGGAGACGCGTTCTCTGGAGTGACGAATCGCGCTTCTCCATCTGGCAATCTGATGGACGGGTCTGGGTTTGGCGGTTGCCAGGAGAACGGTACTTGTCTGACTGCATTGTGCCAAGTGTAAAGTTTGGTGGAGGGGGGATTATGGTGTGGGGTTGTTTTTCAGGAGCTGGGCTTGGCCCCTTAGTTCCAGTGAAAGGAACTCTGAATGCTTCAGCATACCAAGACATTTTGGACAATTCCATGCTCCCAACTTTGTGGGAACAGTTTGGAGCTGGCCCCTTCCTCTTCCAACATGACTGTGCACCAGTGCACAAAGCAAGGTCCATAAAGACATGGATGACAGAGTCTGGTGTGGATGAACTTGACTGGCCTGCACAGAGTCCTGACCTCAACCCGATAGAACACCTTTGGGATGAATTAGAGCGGAGACTGAGAGCCAGGCCTTCTCGTCCAACATCAGTGTGCGACCTCACAAATGCGCTTCTGGAAGAATGGTCAAAAATTCCCATAAACACACTCCTAAACCTTGTGGACAGCCTTCCCAGAAGAGTTGAAGCTGTTCTAGCTGCAAAGGGTGGACCGACGTCATATTGAACCCTATGGATTAGGAACGGGATGTCACTTAAGCTCATATGTGAGTCAAGGCAGGTGAGCAAATACTTTTGGCAATATAGTGTATCTATCTATCTATCTATCTATCTATCTATCTATCTATCTATCTATCCATCCATCCATCCATCCATCCATCCATCCATCCATCCATCCAGATTTCTCCCTTTCTCCATATAGGCTAACATTTGATCGTTCACGCTCTCCATAGTTCTCCTGTGGCACGAGCTCAGGGCGGCTCGCCTTTAGCGAGCATGCGCGCTGAGTAACGTGCAGTAACGGGATGTCGGCAATGGTAACTGCATTATAGTTACAAAGCAATTAGTTAGATTACGCCGTTATTCCCATCCCTGGTTATGTATAAACTTTTGAAATTGAAAAGTCCTCCATAAAGAAAATGATCCATCAAGTTCAAGTAATAGTGGGAACAGAAGTGAATGTCTAACCCGTTTAGCTAGCCTTTTTAATGCCTCCTCCTGTGTTCTTCTTTCTGGAGTTTCTGGACAGCTTCTTTCTCTTTCATCTTCTCCCCCCGTCTCTCCTCCTCTTCCAGGAGATTCATATGAGATTGAATCAGATTCTCCATCTGTAACAAGAACAATGCAAGATTCAGCTCTGTCTGAGATTTCTTTTTAACAAATAAGTAAGTACCAAAAATCACACTTCCTGTGGATTCGATGAAAGGAACTCTAGAAACTACTGGTTAAGTTAATTTTGTCTCACAGACAGCAAAAAAGGTTTTAAACAGATTCCATGTTACAATGAAGCAGATTATTGCTTAGCAAGTCCCATAAAAATAACGGAATAAGCGGCAGAGTTTAAAAAATAAACAAATAAAATATGGTACTGTACAGTGTTTTTGCAAATATAAATACATCTGAAGAATAAATAACCAATATACAGCTGTGGACATTTTTACAGTAGTGGATATGTGAAACTGAAAGTATCTACATCCATGTGGATAACACGGAAGTGAAAGCATCATGCTGTGGGGCAGGGAAGCTGTTTAAAGCTGTGAAGAAAGAAAAAAGCTAAATACAGAGAAATAATAAAAGAAAGCCTGCTATGCACCTCCACATGTACCATGGGTAATACAGATGCCAGAAATCACCCAATTTTCTTGATTCTTTTAATATTCCAAAAAAGTAAAAAAAAAAAAAAAAAACAATCCACTGGACTTAGTTTGAAGATGTTTAGCTTCGCATCCAGGAAGCTTTTTCAATTCAAAATGTCAGAAATAGAGTTGAGTTCGATGCTTTATGGAGTAGCCCAACAAAGCCATGTTTTTGTTTAGGAAAAACATGCAAGCTGAAACGAAAAAAACGGATCCACACTAGGGATGCACGATATAATCGGCCCCCTATCTGTATCAGCCTTAAAACTGAATATCGGACATCGGCCACCCCACCGATATTTAACCCGATATTTGATCAGCTTCTGAGTTTCTAAAGTCTAAAAAAAAAAAAAATACTACTTCTTCTTCTTCCTCAAAAACTTCTTTTTTAAAGACTTAAAAACTTCTAAAGACGAGGGAAAAAATATTGATACATTAAAATATCACAATATCTTCATATGCTGATATATTGCCATTTAAAAACACCATATCAATCTCTTTTACTAATGAAATATTGCTATATGTCATCGTTATGCTACGATATCCCCCGAAAATTCACAAAGTTGATATATTGACGCGGTATCGATCTATTTTACTAACAAAATCTCACAAGAATTTGCAAAATATCACGAGAGTTTGTAACAGAACGATGAAATTTCACGAGATTTTGAAAGTAAAATAGATCGATACGGCGTTTTTAAAAATCAATTTGATATCAGCATATGAAAATATATTTGAGTATATTATTTTTCAAAGTGTCAGAAATGGATAACAAAACTGCTATTTTCAATGACTACTTATTTTTGTCCAGCTTAACCATCGGTATCGATATCGGTTATCGGCTACATGAGTTTTAAAATATCGGCATATCGGTTATCGGCCAAAATCCCAATATCGTGCTTTAGGGGTGTGCAAAATAATTGTGATGATGATGCATCGTGATTCTAATTTTCGTGATCTACTGCATCGATTCTTGATGCCAAGAATCGATTATTAATTTAAAAAAATGAATAAATAAAATTGCATGAATGGTTGGCGAACATCAGCCAAAAACAAGTGCAATACCACTTCCAGTCCAGTAGATGTCGCTGCAAATGTGTTGACGCACGCTGCCTTGTGTCACAAGCATTTCCGGCCGTGGGATACTGTGCCGAGTAATTAAAAAACAAAACATGGAGGAGAAAATATTGCAATGCATCGCAATAATTCAAGTATCGTGATGCATCGTGATAGAATCGCATCGTGGCCTGTGAATCGTGATTCGAATCGAATCGTGACTTCTTTGGCAATACCCACCCCTATCGTGCATCCCTAGTCCACACCTTTGAAATGGGGGTCGTTTGGCTTCTTTTGTCTGCAATGCCCCATACCCGTCTATGTCTCTGAAAGGGGGGTTGTTAAAAGGAATTGTTGGTCTGGCTGAATAGGCGAGGTCTTCTCTTCCCCTGTAAAGGGGTTGCGATGATAGCGGGAAGGGATTAAATCAATTGCTGCATTGTAGGTTTTTGAAGCTGAAATCTGAGTCCACCCCATCTGTTTAAGGTTGGTTTGTCTTTCTTAACATGGATGGCTTCCTTTACGCCACTCTTAAACTATTCTCTTTGTTGAAAATGTGAACATTCTGGTCCTTAAAAGAATTCCCTTTGTCTTTAAGGTGTAGATGGACACCAGAGCCTTGTCCCGAGGAGACTGCTTATCTGTGTTGGGTCATTGTTCTGTGGAGAGGTTGTTTGCTTTCTCCACTCACTGCATCAAACTGCATACATCACTCCGCTCATATTTGGTCAGGGGGTTTTGTCCTTAGGATGCAATACTCCCTGTTTAAGGGTCTTGTTTGTTTTGAAATGTACTGGGATTTTGTGTTTGGAGAATAGGACTAAACCCCCAAACCAAATATGAGTGGAAAACAGGTGCTGCTCAGTTTGTTTCAGATTGACCTTCATGGGAATATTACATATATTCACAATGAAAGAGAGAAGATAATCTAAGTATGCTTACGTTTTGTTACAGTGTCAGCAGTTGTCAGCCTCATGCGGTGTCCATGACAGCTGAGGTCCACCAGCTGTGCAATAATTGCCGTCTTTCCAAAGCCCATGTTACCAGTGATTATGATGCCCCTGTTGGTTGTTGGGTGATTGCTGCGCAAACAGGTGTAAACTTCCTGGAAGAGCCACTCTCTACCTGTGAAGAGGCGATTCGACAGCAGGCCGGGAACCTCGAAATGGAGCGGTTTCAGGTGTAGAGACGGAGTAAAATCAACTAAGGAAGGACAGAAAGTAAAAGGTTTACATTATTTCCATTTCAAAATGTTTTACCAGCATATTACCAGCATCTCTACCTATGTGGTCCTGCTGACCGCCACGCCTAGAGTTCTGTCTTGCCATTCGAAGTAGCCTCTTCGGGGGAAGATTCCTGTGCTGTTCATCAAGATAGCTTAGATCTTCAAGGCGGGCTGAACCTGTGGCTGGATGGAAAGAAAATGTTTAATGCTAAGGTGAAAACAGATAGAAGTAGTTTGGCTGTAAAAATATCACTGTTGTGTCAGGTGTTTTTTATAATCTTTTTTAAACACACTTTTGTACAATACCTTTAAAAGCTTTCATGCACTTTGAAATATAAGGATTTTTAAAAATCTTTGGACATCCAGTAATTTAATCTGGCCTCTTCTTTGTAAAATAGGCCAAGCTTAGTCAGACTAGATAAGAGGATTTCTGTAAAAAAGAAATTTCAAGTCTTGCCACAAATTTCTCACAAATTCCAAGTCTTGAAGGTCCCATTTTATTCTATATTTAAAATAATGAGGCCCCAAAATGCATTTTTGTCATTTGTGCAGAAAAATTCCTCTCAGGTTAGCCATGCATCTATCAAACATCTCCCTATTCAGCACTCCTCTAGACGTACTGTGTTGGCTTTCCACACCATGGTCCTCCCAAAGGCCACGCCTCCACAACCCGCAACCATGACAACAAGTAAGATAGCCTAGGATCGTGGAATAATACATAAGATGATGGCCAGTGATTAACTGATTTGCAGCTACAACCACCTCTCGGCAGCTTTTTCCCCCTTATGATGTCGTAAAGGGCATGATTTTGAGCATACATTAGCTAAGAGGCTGTCACTGAAATGTTTGCCAATCCTTTTTACAAAACAGCTAGAGCTTAGTGAGGTTGGATGGAGAGCCTTTTCAGTTCTTTCCACAAATTCTTGATTGGATTCAGGTTTGGACTTCGACTAGGCCATTCTAACATCTGGATATGTTTATTAGGGAACCATTAAATTGTAGATTTTGTCTTCATGTTTGGGATCATTGTCTTGATGGCAGATAAATTTCTGTCCCAGTCTCAGGTCTTTTGCAGACTCCAACAGCTTTTCTTCCACAATGCTCCTGTATTTGTCTCCATCCATCTTCCCATCAATTCTAACCATCTTCTCTTCTCCATCTTCTGAAAAAAACAGGCCCAAGCTGCCACCACTGTGTTTGACAATGTGGTGGCATGTTCAGGGTGATGAGCTGAGTGGCTTTTAGACCTAACATTACGTTTTGCAATGTTACCAAAAAATTTGGATTTTGGTTTGATCCGACGAGACTTTATCAATGATCACAATTTGGTGTGGCCAAAACCATTTAGTCTCTTTCTGCAAGCCCCACAGGATCTTAGCTCTGTCATTCTCCATCAACTTAGGAGGTGGCTCCCATTTTGACCTGGGGGGGTCTCCAGTTTGTGTATTGCATAGAGGTTTGTGTACTATACCAGCCACTTATAGCATTTCATGTATTCTTCTCCTGTTAGTTTCTCAATGTCCTGTGAGATGGTGGATTGTTTCTGGAGCCACTTTGCAAAGCCTGAACCTGTAATCTTGCCTGCTATGGCAGTTCTGGGCCTCTATTGTTCTGATGCTCAAGGCCTGCTCCTATGCTGCCAGTGCTTCTGTGCAGCCTTCACTAGCCATTGGTAGGATTTGGTCATACCAGCCACTTCAGCTATCTGTCAGCGGTACATCAAATGCAGTTTTTTCTCCAGTGATGGTTCATCAAGCTCCTTCTCTTCCATCTTCCATAGTCTAAGAGATTCACTGTAGGCTTCATCCCTTGAGGTCATCTTCCTGATATATTGTTGTAGTTTGGATTGCTAATCTTCAATGGTGGCTCTGATGCTCACAAGGCCTTCTACCTCCTTCTCTGTTCTTAGTGTATAGACTATGGATACTGGATTTGGGGTGGAATCACCATGAGTTGATGTCTTGTTCACTCTAAGGATTCAGCTTGATGTTATCCAGTTAAAGGAGGTGGCTGATAGTGGGCCCATTTCTGAGTCGGAATCCATAGCTAGTCTTGTTGATTATTTGGTTGAGGGTGTTCAGGCCTATACAGAACAGCAGGGGAGACAGAGCATTTCCTAGGTATATTCCACTTCTGATGGAAATTTTCACAACTGGCTTAAAGTGGGCCTTAATTGCGGTTTACCACATCCCCATGGTGTTTGCAATAAATGGCTCTTATAGCCCTGTTTATCAGGTACAGTTGCAGGCATTGCAGGATCCATGTGTGGGTCATTAAGTTGTGGGATTTCTTAGTAATCAACCCAGGTAGTGTACAGGTGTGTTTGTCTGGTTTTTCAGTCTCTGACAACTGTTCAAACAGCAGTTGGTGATGGCTTCTCTGGGGTTTTTACAAATTATTTTGTGCATCTCTGACATGCTGATCCATGAGCCCACTTATCTTTGCTGCTATGATGCCTGACAGGCACTTTAATATTGTGGAGAGACAGGTTATAGGCCGACAATTGGTTGGCATTGTCCCCTTCTGAGAGCCGTTCATTATGAGGACTGATTGGCCATTCAGGGTGGGTCCCGTCCTTCAGTAGAAAGGCCATTTGATTTAGGTGTTCGTGGAGAAAGGTCATCTTCTTCAGCAAGGTGTGGATCATGACTAGGCCTTGTTCTATCCAGTTCTTCATAATTTCACAACTTATCATAACATTGCAGATGTTTACTGTTTGAAATAGAAATTGACTGACTTTGCCTGTACCTAGATATATGACCGTCAAAATAATACCTTCTTTCATGGATCAAAGGTAAAAGATGAGAAGGAGAATGCAGTGTTGCTGTGCTGCATGTGACCTTTTTCGTCTCAGCCTATTACTATTAAGTTCATTCTCGAAAACTATAAATATGATATTTGAGTATAATTTCAACAATGCAATATTAATTTCAAACTCAAATTATCCATTTCTTTATTAACCTTTGTCAGTACAGGCGAGCTCACTATTTTTGAAGTTCCTTCCTAACAGATAAGTGTGTGAGGGTTTTCCTTACTGCAGTAGTCTGTTATCTTACCTGCAACCGAATTGGGGCGGGGAATAAGGTTAAGAGTGATGAAGTGGTTAGATCCAGAAAAGTATGAAGAGTTTGGTCCTTGGTGTGGATTGAGCTTGTTTAGGCTGTAGGTGGAAGCAGACAAGCTGTCCTCTATCCAGTACAGCGAGCTGCTGTTGGGTTGACTTCCATCTCTTACGCACACGGTGGAAACTGAGGCCACCACCGGTCGGCCTTCCTGCTGCCAGGGGTTGCTACCATGGCAACTGTCAATGGACTGCCTTGCTCCATCCTCCGGCTCTGGAACTGTCTCGGCAGAATAGCTGGTCAGCGTTGCTGGAAAAATGTATGGAGAAAAATGTTAAACCAGTAAATATTAGAGTATTTTCTCAAATTTTTCCTAAATTAATTGAGCAGCTCTAAACAGAAACATTTTTTTTTCTTTTATACCAGTGTTATTATGTAAACACATTGTTGTGATACAGCATTGGTGAAGAGATCAGTCTGATCAAAGCCACTGAGTGACTACTGAATGATTGTCATGCACCAACCCCCTTTTTGACTGGGATCATGCATCTTTTATGAAGATCACAGCTGGCCAAATTTACAATGTAGATCCCGTGACTGTGCTGCTGTGTGCTCCTGCTGAAGATGCAACAAGCTCTGACCGCGCAACTGTGCAAACTAAAACCCAGACGTCACGCTGTGAGACGAATCAGCTGGAGAAAAAGCTGTGATGCAGCAGGACAACCGCAAACATCATACAGCTTTAGAACCGAAGAGTGCAAGCGATCATTCTCTTTTAAAGCCCATCCAACACCCTTGTTGCTTTCATCAGACTGATCTAAATCTCTCCAAAAGCAGACCCAGTTTAAAAATATCCACTGGCTTGGACTGAATTACTGGGATCTGCTACAATTCGCCTTGCAAGGCTTGAGGCTTGGTACTGGTTTCATATCTCCTTATTGTCCCTAAGGGGGACTGTTTATTTTATTATTTTAAACTGCTTTAAAGCTAAAAACAGAAATCAGACCGCATTACCTACGATTCAGAATGAGCTGAAGGTAGTGTCTTGTTTTCCCTGCCAGATTGAACCCAGTGTATTGTGACCCAGCTTGCAGAAACAGATGAGAAACTCTGGCTAACCAATGGAACAGCTATTGCTGTTCTACCAATGAGCCACATAAGTCACTGACCCCTGCCACACTAGTTGTGCCTCTGTCTTGAACTTTGAAACCGCTGGACCATAACCTATTGGTTTGGCTGCTGTTTGGAGCTATGCTGCCACCGTCTGAGCCGCTGCTACAAGCTACCTGGGGACGCCCGTGATAAGGCTGCTGTGAATAATAAAGTTAAGCCCTGCAGATCTGTCTCTGTTGTTTGCATCAGAATAACTCAAATCTCTCAGAGAGTTGCCTGTTGGATAAGCGGACTGTGTTCCTGAGCTGAATCGAAACAAATTTCTTCAAACATTTTCTGACTCAGACAGAACAGAACCAAGCCAAACCCCTTCCATTCCACTGAGAAATAATTACAAATAACACATTTTCCCTTCTTTCATCTGATGCTTAATAGATCAAAATTGCTTGGTAGAGAGATAGGAAGAATAGATATTTTTGTATGTGTTTTACCTGAAAGAAGTTTTATGATTCAACTGCTGATAATTCAACTGCTGATGGTTCTTAAGTAAGCGTTCTGAGCTGAATGCTAATGCTCACTGAGCCTGACTGAACAATCCATGCTGTGTTACTGTCTGCTTTATTCCTCTTTTTCCATTTGTTTGAAGAATCAAGCTACTACAGTTGAACTGGCTAGCATTGTTAGCTCTAAGCCAACTCTTTCCCGACCTCATGGTGGTAGCCATTTTGAGAGTCTCCAAACCCCTTCTGATGTAGCTGGCCCATCCAGGAACCAGATATCCTGGGCCAGCTGAACTAACCTATTCTTTCCATAGTCACTGTATTTTAATGTATTCCTACGTCATTGTTCATTATTCACTATAAAACCAGGTGAAACTTCCCTGTTTTGATTGCACTGAATATCTCTACAGCAGTTTTTCATTTATCTACAGCTATTTCAAAGGATGCCTTGAATGCATTAAGCCTTAAACTTGAACATTCCCCAGAGACTGATGAATATACTCTTAAAACCTTTTCCTGTTTTTGTTTGCTTTTATTTAGTTGTGCTTATTTTCAGCAATATGTAGTGTCAGTGTAGTTATTAGATATAATAATACTGTGATAGGGATTATTAGCTAACAAAGGTACCAGTGTATTTGAACCTTCTGTGTTTATTTTAATGCGGTGAATGATTTAGATCCACCATCCTTTGAATAACATTTGAATGAACAGAGATTTATTTGGTTGGTGATTAATAACTGATGCTAATAACAATGCTGATAGCCATAGTCTAATATATTACACGGTGAAGGCAAGTGGATTTTAAACCGCCGGTCGAGGAGCCCAACCTTTATGTAAAAGACTAAGAACCTGGTAAGGGAGTTATTTTCAGTTATAATCATTTAACTAATAATCATGAACTGGTTTTACCCTAGATTCTAATGACCTAGTAGTAAGAACTCTACTCTATTTTATGTGCATGAAAAGTGAGGTATGATCATTCCACCATAAAATTTGAATAATGTCTAAATGAACTTAAAATGTCATAACCTGCTGGTAAAATAGTACAGAGCTGAGTACATAGAGCTGGTGAAAATCTTTGTGGCATGGTGTGGAAACAATCATCTGATCCTGAATGTCAACAAAACAAGGAGATGATTGTAGATTTCAGAAGAAACTGGAACAAGTTGAATGTTGTTAGCATCATGAGCGAAGAAGTGGAAACATAACTGCAAAAACATTCTACAAGAAAGTACTGAGCAGGCTATACTTCATAAGGAAGCGTAGGTCCTTTGGCATTTGCAAAAGGAAGCTACATATCTTCTATCAGTCTGTTGCGGAGAGTGATTTCTTCCTCCATCATCTGCTGGGGTAACGGCATCAGACCAAAGGACTTAAGAAAGCTCAACAAGCTGATAAAGAAGGCCAGCTGTATTCTAGGAACGCCCCTGAAAATTATTTCACAGAGAAGAATTCATCATAAAGTGAAGAAGATCATGGGCAGGGCTGAGCATCCTCGTCAGAAAATTTTTAAACAACAACTGAGTGTCTTCAGTCAGAAGCTTCTCCAGATGTGGTGCAAGACAGACTGATACAGTTTCTGCCTCTAAACACCTAGAACATCTATTGAAAAGCTTCCCATGAGATTTCGTAACATTTCCTTTCCCTTTGAGATAAAGTATTTTTGAACTGAACTGAATTTAAATTTATAAAATACCTAATTAACCAATTGTTGTCAGTCCCACCCTTTTAGGAGGTGGTAGTCAGGGGTGGATCAAGGATTTTCAAAAGGTTGGTGCGCACCTAAGAATAATGTCAAGACAATGTGGAGTACCCCAGCCAGGGGTACGTGTACCCCTAGAGGACCGCAAGGGACACATGAAAAATATTTTCTAAAGAAGTAAAATATAATATAAAATAAAAATATATATGTAAAATATATAATATAAATAAATATGTAAAATATAATAGGGCTGTGATCTGTGATGCTGCGTTAGAACCCAATTGAAAAATTTAACAAGCTTTTATTAACCAAAAGTTTTATTACATTAAGCTTTGAAACGTCAAAACCAAGCAGAGGAACATCCTGGACTTAAAGAACAGCCTGGGATCGGCTGTCTTTCACACTGAGCTATCTGAGCTCATCAAAGCAGCTCAGGTGTCAGACTATAATTTTGTTTTGCATTTTGTTCCAAATTCATCAAGTTTAAATGTATTTGTAAGGGAGTTACTTAGAGGAATCCCTGTTTTATAAATACAGGTTCATATTATGATTTTATTTATTATTTATTTCGATTCCTTAGTAACTTCCAGGCAACATTTTTATGTTTTTTTTTTGAGACGGAAAGAATATGATGATAAGAATTATTGTCAAATTAAAAGATCAGTTATTGCATGTTCCACTTTTGGACAATTATCAATACTTTTGACTGAGAGGGGAACTCATGGTGAGACAAAATGTTGAGTTAAAAAAGGTTGGGAAACACTGAGCTAAATGACAAATGCCTTTTTTATTCTTTCACAGAACCCCAACTATTCATCTAAATATATTTTTTTTTATTTAATGTTAATTTTAATGGATGAACATAAATTAAATTGGCATGATTACATAATTTGTAACTGAAAAAGCATTTTTCAACCAAAATCTCTCAGTTTAAACAAAATTTGATCATCATGTTGACATTTTATCACTGCTAAGATGAGGAAATGGAAATGTCTTTAGAGCTGTACTGAACGAAATTTCGTCTTGTTTACACTCTGTGTATACTAAATGAAAATAAAGTCTCTAAGTCTAAAATTATTCTTAACAATTAAACAAACAAAGCTTTTCTTCATTCCCAGAAATTATTTATTTATAAAAATAGTCAAGGACTGAGAACAGTTTGATATGGTTCTCTTTCCGTCTGCCTGCCTGCCTGCCTCTTTCTCTATATAGGCTAACGTTTCATCGTTCATGCTTTCTGAACTTCCCTTGTGGCACGAGCACAGGGCGGCTGTAGCGATCATGCGCTTTTTCTGCCACTTGCGCGGGGCAGAGATGCTGGGGAAACCGTAACGGATTGGGGGATCGCGGCCTGATGTAATAGCATGTTTCGGGTGACAGCTACTGGCTGTTGATCTTAATACAACGAAGTATGAAAACAGCTTCGAACTCAACGCTATTTCTGACAGTTTGAATTGTAAAAGCTTCCTGGATGGGAAGCAAAACGTCTTCAAACTTGGAAACAAAGTCCTGCGGATTGTTTTTTTTTTTTTTTACTTTTTTGGAATCTGTAGCTGGCATTTATTTTGGTCTCCAAAAGGAGGGGGGGGGGGGGGGGGGGGGGGGGGGGGCATTACCCTGTCTGTATCCTCCACAGGTAGTTGTGTAATGATGAACACCACAAAGTTAAGCCCAATTAGTAAAAGTACATCATTACCCCATTTACACTACCCTTTAAAAACCGATCCATGCCGAGACCGGTCCGAGCTCGGATCAGTTAACCAGGCCGAGCTCGGTTCTGACATATCACGCTATCTCGGTTCCTCGCCTCCTAGTGACGATCTGCTGTATTACTGCCAGTATTGAAGGAGGAAATCAAGCAGTTGGTGGCGGTAATGCACCAAAAGTTGTTTGCCAACCGCCATAAAACACAAGAAGAAGAAGACGAAGAAGGAGGGAATCAAGCAAATCAAAATGGCGGTGCCCGTCACATTCAGAAAGTTATGCTTGATTATCATTGCTGTACTTTGGTGTTAATATTTAAAATGCCATTATTTAAAATGTTGCTTGGAGAAGATTCAGATTGTTGTTTATAGTTGTTGTTCTTCTTCTGTTTTGTGTTGGTTGGCAATCAACTTCCGGAGGGGCATTCCCACCACCTACTGGAATGGAGTGTGAATCGCGATGTGCAGCCAGACGGAGATGACGCGTTCTGCTCATGCGCTCTTGTTATCAGAGAAACGAGGCAGGGAAAAACCGAGCCGAGCCCACCTCTGGAACTGGTCTGCAGTTATCTCGGTTCGGTTGTGTCTAGCTCGGTTCAGTTCAGTTTGCTTTCCATTTACACACGATAAGTTATCTCAGTTACCGGTCTCAGCACGGTTTTTCACTGGTAGTGTAAATGGGGTATAAGATTATTGCCCATTACACTACTGGTCTGTGACAGACGAACAGAAGCTGAGGGAGAATAAATCCTACACTCCCAAAACTGTTTGGCTTCTTACATCTATTTCATATATAAAAGGATGAGATGCAGACTGCAACTAGAAGAAATTAAAGGAAACAACAGAGTGTCTGAAAATGAGCTGCAGCTCATTCAAGCAGGCTATAGGTCATCCTCTAGAAGTCACTGTTTCATCTCTCACCCATGATTCCACTGTCTCTGCTCTCCAGTGTAGAGGAGGGGGAGGTGACGGAGGCACAGTAGGAGAAGGGCTGTTTGCTGTTATTATTACCACCTTCCCCCACAGGAGGCTGCATAGTGGAGCAGGGGGAAGTGTTGCTGCTTGCCAGACTGGAGGAAGGAGACATCCTCTGTGGAGAGGATAAAAACTTTGCCATTGTGTAGAATTACAGAGTAATAACTTTATCCAATAAAACATTTACTTTAATGTGTGTGAAAAGGGAGGGTTTGGTGTTAGATGTATACCTGTCCATCACCCTGGCTCTGGTTAGGCAAGTAGGGTTCTCCAACTCTGACCTTTTCTCCCAGAAGGAAGCCCAGCTGGGTCATCAGCGCGTCAGCCGCTTCGTCTACAGAAGGCGGCGGCCCGAGTTCCTCTACCTCATCTAGGGAGCAATGGCAAGCAGAGAAGAAAAAAATGGTTTATCATTCCTCTTAAGATTAGAAAACCATTTCTGATCCATGATTTGGGTTCAAAGATCCCACTATAAGAATCCAACTCTCATTTTTCAGCTGTTTTATCCAGGGTTATCAAAATTGCACCAGCTGTGAATTCCAGAGATCTTCTTTTATTGCTAAACTTTCTTCTTTTTGGTACAGAAATCTAGCCTTTACTAAGTTAAAATGGTTCATATACAGGAATCAATATGTTGAATAATACTTTTTTTCACACCCTCACATTTTTTAACGCCATGACACCTGTGAGCTGCAACTTTGGTAGAAACTTTTTAACTTTAGTTGGAAGTCAGTAATTATAAAATGTTAAGACTGACAGTTTTTGTAGTCTCCAAATGTAGTAATGCTTAGAATTGAAATAAAGTATAATTATTCAAGTTAAACTGCAATTTTTTTACTTTTACAGTATAAAAAGACTGATCTATATTACTGTTATTCATTATTTAAACCTAACCCAAAATGAAAAAAACTTAATTCCCATCCATATGATGTGAAAACACTCTTTTCTACGGAGCCCCTCTGATGACATGGTCAAAAAATTTTTTTTATTGTGGCCACGAAGTAGTATTTCGTGCGCACGAAGTAGTATTTCGTGGCCACGCAATAAGTTTATCGTGCGCACGAAATACTATTTCGTGGCCACGCAATAAGTTTAACGTGCGCACAAAATACTTATTAATACTATTAATATCATTCCTGGACAACTGGGTAAGCAAATCGAGCGCGCCTTCTCTAAGGTCTAAGGCGCGCTCGATTTGCTTACCCAGTCGGTCTCCGCCAGTCACGTGACATTTGTTGCTAAGACGCTATTTTAGGTGGAAAAGGCGTAGTGTAAACAACCGCAGCATAGCTAAACGAAGGACTAAAGGCCCGTTTACATAGCAGCCTGTCCAAGATAAGTCATTACAGTTAACATAAGCCTGAAAACAGGGGCGGATTTATTGATATTATTAATAAGTATTTCGTGCGCACGTTAAACTTATTGCGTGGCCACGAAGTAGTATTTCGTGGCCACAATTAAACATTTTTTTTGACCATGTCATCAGAGGGGCTCCGTACTTTTCTTTAGTGCCAATTCAATTAATAAGTGATAAATCGAAGATAGAAAAGGTTTAAAGTAATGTGCTGTAAAGAGAATTTAATGGTCCAATATTATGTAAAATACACATAAACATCTTGTAAGAGTCTTTTATGTGTCCTGATGCATTTGTATGAGGTTCACAAATCAATAAACCCTTTCACCTCTCTCTCTGCCACTTATCGTGCTCAAAATGCTCTGTCTGACAAACATGCACTTCTTCCATCTGAGCCCACCTGCTACCTTCCTGACACTGAGCATCCAAACAGGCAAGGCTAAGCGAAGAGCTAAGCATGACAGACATTTTGTGGCTGAATCAACAAAAGTCTCTTTCCTGCCTTCATCTGAGCCTCCGAAAACTCAGTTGATAGATTTTATTTTTGATGGAAATCTACCTGCAAAACGTCCTCTGTGTGCTGAGCATTTCGAGAAGACTGCCTAGCCTAATGCACTGTAAACACATTAGCACTGCAGCCAGTGATCCAATCGCTGTAGTTTGTCGTCTTTGGGGCTCGCTTTGGAGATGGAAGCATATTTCCGTATACTGCGATAACATTGCAGCCATTAATAAAGGTCACTTCACCTCTCAATCTCTCATGCCATTTATCAGAAGCATCACTAGGCAAGCAGTCACAAATAACTTTATCATCACAGCTTGTCATGTTCCCGGCTATTCTAATTCTGCTGCTCTTTCTTGTTTCAAATGCCAGACTTTCTTCCAAATTCGACCTGCAACCGACCCCTGTTACTGACTTTCCTCCAGTTTTTACAGTGAGTCAGGTTTAGCCCCTTCCACTTTCAGAACCTATGATTTTGCATGGCAATCATTTGCAAAATTTTCCTCAGGTTTCAACATTTCTTTATATCCAGTACTCATTACTTCTGTTTTGGCATTCATATCTTACTGCTTCGACAGTCGCCACATTAAACTTCCTTACATTCTAAGCTTACCAGCAGGTATTATTAGCAGTTGTAGCATTTTCAAAATACGACAACTCAAACTCTACTAGCCTCTTCGCAAACTACTGCATTAGGCTCCTTCTGAAAGGTTTCAAGTGAATGAAGTGAACATTCTTAATGTTCACTTTATTCACAACAGTTGGTTGGCTTTGGTCGCAGTACCGCCACCTTCTGCTTTGGAGTGTAAACGCTTCGCCTATGAGAATGAACCGTACGCAACACACGCGAACCGAACGGTTTTCATATATATATATATATATATATATATATATATATATATATATATATATATATATATATATATATATATATATATATATACACACTGTTGCACTTTTATCCACAACTTTCTTTTCGTAGGTCACTCTAAATGCAAAGTGGTCCCATACAGCAGACCTATAAAGTGCTGCTGGCGCGTCTTCCAACTCCTGTTCTTTCCCACTCGCCATACCCACACAATTCTCCACAACAACTGATTTTTTTCTGCTACACCCGGCTAAGCTGCTTCGCTTCTTCTTCTTGTTTACTACTGGTGGCTGGCTTATGTCGCAGTACCGCCACCTTCTGCTCTGAAGTGTAAACGCTTTGCCTATGAGAAAAGGAGCAGCGCATGAGCCGAACGAAACACACGCGAATCGAACCGAGACAGTCGAACTGAACGGTTCAGGCGGTTTTCATAAATCCTCCCATCCCTAATATATATATATTAGTGCTGTCAAAATTATCGCGTTATTATCGCGTTAACGCGAGGCCATTTTAATGGCGATAATTTTTTTAACGTGAGATTAACGCTATGTGGTTTTATGGTACAATTTTCCAAGTACATCCCGCTGCAGCCTGCGGGAAGGCGGGGCTATTTTCCCCCAGTCTATGCATTTTCCATAGGCTTCGAGAGCGGAGCTCCTCAAGGAAAAAAGACGCTCATACACTGGGTAGCGCTAGTGCCTTTTCTTTAAGCCCCACCACCAACAAACAAGTTGAGTGTCTGGTGGCTAGTAGCAACCTGAAATACGCTGAGAAAACAGATTCCTGAGGTGAAATGGAATCTGCTACGGCACTCTTGCTGTCTGTGTACGCCACAGGTCAGTATCGTGTGTGTGTGTGTGTGTGTTCTGATTTTTGTTAAGAGGCTGAAAAGTAACTTTCTAGAGCATAGACTACCTCCATCTAATGATGTCGGTCTATTGATTTTGATGTATTGATTGAAAATTGTTCATTATTACCTTGGTTAATTAACATCTAATGTTAACTCTACTACATTTTATAGCAGTAGGGTAAAATGCTTGTCTTTGTTCAAAAGACTGTATTGACTGTAAAGACTGTCTTTTACATCAGCCTGTTTTCAGGGCCTTTTTTTTTGGCTACATATTTGTTATTTTTTGCTACATGCCTCCCCATCTTCTTGCCATATGTTTCTATGGCATAAATCAGTGTCTGTGACCTGTTTTCATAAAAAAAAAAAAAAAGAACATCGGCACAAACCTAGCCTGTATGTATTTTTTGTATGTCATGGAGAGTATTTAAATGATTTTCAATCAGAAAAAAAATTTGCGATTAAAATGCGATTAATCGCGAGTTAACTTAGGCATTGATGCGATTAATCGCGATTAAAAAAATTTAATCGATTGACAGCACTAATATATATATATTACAGGAGGGCTTCTTAAAGAAGAACTAACATGTCTGTGAGAGCCAGAATTCTTACTGGTTGATAGATGATCAAATACTTATTTCACACAATAAAATGGAAATTAATTATTTAAAATTCATACGTTGTATTTTTCTGGATTTTTGTTTTAGATTCCATCACTCACAGTTGAAGAGTACCTATGATAAAAAATTACAGTCTTCTACAAGCTTTGAAAGTGGGAAAACCTGAAAAATCAAGTGTATCAAATACTTGTTCTCCCCACTGTATATCGGCCCTGAGCATTCATCCATCCTATCTCCTCAACGATCTCTCAGCATTTAAGGGTAAGCTAAATGCAAATACTGGTGGTGGCTTCGAAACTTATTCACATCTTTCACCAGATCCCTGTAGGTTTGATTTTCTCAAATTGTGTTTAATAACCCATCCTCACATCACACTCCTGTAAGTCGTTATCCTAGATGGTTGATCTCATCAGGTTTTTTTTCTCTCATCATCTAAATTCAATTCCCTCTTTGATCCCATCATTCATCTCAGTTTTCCTTCTATGAAACTTTTTGTAGGCCTTTGCAGTAACTGCCCTCTTTTGGTGGGCCTTCGTGGCACATATCCTCTATTATTTATCCTTCTGTTCTATGTTTCTAAGCTTTAAACTCAAGGCTCTTTCAATATTGCTGATGTATTGGCTTCAACCTCTGCAGTTTTCCTGGGGAAACATCCCTGTTCTTATACTCCTGCTTATGCATATCAAAGCAAAAATCAACGCTAATGTTTCTTGCCGAGGTCTGAGCACCAAAGACTAAATTAATTGTATTAATAAAATTCTTATGATTTTCTTTCCGTGTGAGTTTTTCAGATTGAAATGAAGCCTAGACGGAAGTTCAACTGAAAAAAACGGAATAACTTGTCCGCTTTCGGCAGAAGCCAATCAGCTTTAAACCACACCTCCACAAAGCTCAATCAGCATCCAGATTTCATCTTAAAAGGTCTCCAAATCCAGAACCCACTCTGCCACCCAGCCAAAGCGCAATCAGTGGTTGCACTATGTCAAACTTTGGTTCAGATGAAACCAATTCAACCCAACTCCATCCCTTTCTCTACCATCGTAGCTAAAGCTTCATCTGACTTTTCCACGGTGCTTCTTGTACTTCGTCTCCATTAGAGCTCAATTCCTCCTGTACTCTGACTGCATTCCCAGTCACATCTCAACCGGTCCGGCTGAAGACCGCCATGTTGAGCCTGGTTCTAACAGAGGTTTCTTTCCAAAGGGAAGTTTTCCCTCTTCATTGTTCTGTTCATTCTTGCTCATCATGGACAGGTTCATGCAACCTCTGTTATTCCCAGGTCCCTGAGTGAAGCAGTAGTATCAGCTCATGCAGTCTACTGTATCTCACCAATAGAGCTCAAGAATCAGGGTAAGAAGAGAGGCAGGTGACGTGATGCACCCACCATGCCTAGTGCCTACTGTACAAGCCTGTGGGGGCGGTGTTATGATCTGGGGATGCTGCAGTTGGTCAGGTCTAGGTTCAGCAACAGTATGTGCTCAAACAATGAGGTCAACTGACTACCTGAATATACTGAATGACCAGGTTATTCCATCAATGGACTTTTTCTTCCCTGATGGCACAGGCATATTCCAAGATGACAATGCCAGGATTCATCGGGCTCAAATTGCGATAGACTGGTTCTGGGAGCATGACACATCATTTTCACACATGGATTGGCCACCACAGAGTCCACACCTCAACCCCATTGAGAATATTTGGGATGTGCTAGAGAGGGCTTTGTGCAGCGGTCAGACTCTACCATCATCAATGCAAGATCTTGGTGAAAAATGAATGCAACACTGCATGGAAATAAATCTTTGGACATTGCAGAAGCTAAACGAAACAATGCCACAGCGAATGCGTCCAACAAAGTATTAGAGTAAATGACCTTTTTTTTTGGTGGTGACTTTTTTTTGGCCAGGCAGTGTATAAAGTGCTGTAATGGAATAAGCAAAACAGATCTGCTCTCTTATATCCCTTTCCCAAAGAGGCTTCAAACTCTCAATGGTGATAGCAATAGCACATACAGAATCTGTATTTAAAGTGAGGTTGTCTACAACAGTCTGTGCGGGACAGACTCAGTTCATCTACAGACTATGTTCTTGGGGTATATGATGGATAAGAAGCTGGTCATCTCATCATGAATGTGAATAAAACAACAGGGATGTTTGTCAGTTTCTCTATTGTCATCATGAGAAATGATGTGGTAGATGTAGAGCAGTACAAATAACTCAGAATTTACATCAGGCTCATCTGGAGGCATAACTGTGAAGTTGTCTACAAGAAAACTGAGAAAACACTTCTTAAGGAGGCTTAGATCTTTCATTATTCGCTGCGTAGCTTCAAGAAGTCTGCTGGGAAACAGCAAATGAATTCAATGAGTGTAACAAGCTAATAAAAAGGCCTGCTGTCCTCTGAATAAAAGGAAGCAACAACTGGTCATTGGTTCATGGCAATCTATGAGTCAATGCTTTGTAGTTCTGCCTTTGCTGCAACTCTAGCTGCACGACTGCATGTTGGCAACTATTTGCATAAATGAGATCAAATGACATCAGTCGTTTCCCACAGGCAGACATCTAAAGGTGCAACCTTAAAAGGCATAAGAACAGTTTGCAATATTCTTTAGATGGTTTAAAATGATATTAGATGATTGTCTTTTAATAATTCCCCAGCTACTTTTATTTAAATTCTTCCAGTTTATGACAGTCTGATGGTAAGGCATTTTTAAACCTGAGGAGAAACTTTGGATCACCTCCTAACCTCTAACAAAAGGCTCTGAAAACTAGTTCAATTAAATATTTAAAAATGTTTGTCATTCTTCAGAAACTAGCACCGTTCAGATCTTTTTGGGATGCATGATAAATCAAGAGCTTATGCTCAGAGAGACCCGTACCCTCACCTTGCTCATGTTTTCCCCTTTGGTTCTCTGTTCCATCCACTGGACAGTCTCTCCATTTCTGACACAACTGTGTGTTCCTCTCCTGAGACTGGCAACAGCACCAGGGAATCAGTAAGCTGTGCAGGAGAGATGATGCAGACACATCTCTACCACATCTGCCGCTGTTCAGCAGCCCCCATGGCTGTTGTGCGGAGGACCTCCTGTTTCGGGACCACTTGCTCCTAGAGTTGGTCCAGGCTTTAGCAATCGCAGCTGAGCATTCCATGTTGGTCAAAAAAAAGAACAGATCTGAGAGTATCTGCTGATATCACCTTTGTCCAGACCTCTTATTTCAAATTTACACATAAAGGATTTTGAGGTATAAGTTAAGAGCCAAGAGAAAGAAAGAATTCTTCTTCAGAAAAAAAACAAGATCCTCAGAGGAAAATAAGTGTTGCTGCAGGATTCCAGGGAGAGCAACACACGTTCTTTATTATGAAAGCTGTATCCACAAAGACAAAAGAAGAATTTTAAACCTGACCCAACTCAGCAGATTTGAATGATGCAATCCTTCACTCTTCATGCTTTTAATTTTGCAGAGAAGCCACACTTTGTTTTCAAAGCTAAACCACAGCTGAGAAAATCCGCAGCTAAAGCACTACGGTAAAAAAACAAAAAAAAACTATTTTGCTTTAAATAATACCACGGCTGAAAATCAAGAAAGGATTTCAAGTTTTGTTGAAATGTTGCTTTTCGCAGCAAAACCTCTGTATGTGCTCCGAAAGACGATCTCCTTTAACTCAGCTCACTGCACATTAAAACCTCCCCTCCTCCAACAGAAAAGGGTGGAGCATGCACGCACTGAAGGTCTGCAAAATGAGTTCAACTAGAAGTAATCTGTCTTACACAGAGAAGTACGGGGAGAGTTAGGGGACAACTCTCTACTAATAGTTTAAAAAGGAGAAAAAATCCCCTGCAGAGAGGGAATGGTTGATCAAAGTTTAGCAAAGCACATACATGAACTTTTAAAAGAAATGTTACATCAGTAAATTACAGGGTACAACAATAGAGCTGCCTCCTATACTTATGTTTTTCTGCTTCAACAAAGAATGCATGCTTGTGGGAGCGGAAATGTGGATCCAGGATCATTTAATAAAACCATGAACTGACAGCCATAGATTATTTTTAGACGTAAGTGTCTGGACTGAACAGCCTTTCCACTCAACCTCTCTGCCCGGTAAAGGACATCTGAGAATGGTTCCCTAATTGGTTGATTGATGTTGCTAAATCTGAGTTGCATAGTCACAAAACACAGGTCAGGTCACTTAAGGTCAGAAGCTGCTGATTAGATGGTACCAGCTGTTCTCCCTGTGCTCCCCCTCCAATGTTGTGCCAGTTCATAGTTAAAAAGAACAAGTTCATAGTTAAAGGGGGCACAAATAGCCACCTTCATTTTACGTTATTACATCATGTTCTACTCACCCATATGAGTTTTGTGTCATTTGGAGTTTCCAAGTAACGTCTTCCTATGGGCAACGACTTGAAGGCACAAACTAAACTGTATAATTTATTCTGTATAATTTATTCTTTATGGTGCGCCAGCATTCATAACATGTAGGCGAATCACTGCCCCCAGGCATCCGTGGTTATATCTTTTATATTTATATTTTTTTTTAAACAAAGCAGAGTGTGTATGATGTCATTCGCGCGCTAGACTGGAGTTGTGACAGGCAGCCCGGGCCACAGGTGGCTACGCTCTACTCCTATTCATTCTAGCTAATCTGAATCGTTCAATTCCACTTGGAGAGCGAGATCATCTGTGGTAGCAGCACTGGACATCTTCCAGGCATGTGGGTAAAACTAGCAGCAGTTCAGCGGACAGGAAGAATGAACGGTAGCCGTAGCTTGGTTTTAAAAAAAATATAAAAAATATAACCACAGATTTCTGGGGGACAGTGATTGTGACCACCGCACCACCAGGAGGTGGCCCCCTGAGATGGAAAGTGCCCTGAGGGACTGCTTTAATACCACAAACTGGGACGTGCTGACTGATCGCATGGTGAGGACATCGAGGGGATAACGCACTATCTGACGGACTATCTGAACTTCTGCACTGACCTGGTCACACCTGTCTGCTACTACCCAAATAACAAGCCTTGGTTAACGGAAGTCAAAGCTGTCCTAAACAGGAAGAAGGCTGCCTTCAGGAGCAGAAACAATGAAGGCAGCACCACAGGAAGTAAAACATGGTGTGAGGGAAGCCAAAGACATCTACAAGAGAAAAGTGGAGAAGAAACTGAGGGAGAATAACATGAGAGCCGTCTGGGGATGTGTGAGAACCATCACAGACCACAACACCTCCCTTTACTAGTGGTTCCTAGAATTTCTAAAAGTAGAATAGGAGGCAGATCTTTTAGTTATCAGGCTCCTCTCCTGTGGAACCAACTACCAGTTTTAGTCCATGAGGCAGACACCCTGTCTACTTTTAAGGCTAGGCTTAAAACTTCCCTTTCTTGATAAAGCTTCTAGTTAGAGTGGCTCAGGTTATCCTGAGCTATCTCTATAGTTATGCTGCTATAGGCTTAGACTGCTGGAGGACATAGGGACCCCTTTTTCATCATTCTATCTATTCTCCCACTCTGCAGGATCTGTTAAGTCAATCTCTAACGTTCTGCTCTCTCTGCCTTTTCTCATAGTAGCTTCATCTGGTCTGTTCCTGTTTGGCTGTGACTCCATCCTGGAGAGAAAGGAGCTCGTCTGCCTGGCTGTGTGTTTCCTGGACAGGGCTGCCTTTTACAGTTGCCTTTTGTATCTCTGCTTCTGTCTCCTCGAATAAGGAGACAGAAGATAGAAATCTTTAAATCAATTTGACTGTATGATCTGGTGAACTGTAAAGTGCCCTGGGATAACATGTGTTGTGAATTGGCGCTATAGAAATAAACTGAATTAAACTGAAGACAAAGACCATGGACCAATGGAGAGGGCTAATTAACTGAGCAAGTTCTTAAACAGGTTTGACAAGCCTGTGACCCCCACACAGCCACTGCAGCCATCTCCCCTCTCCCCTACAGCTCCTCTGCCCCCCCGACCCCCGCACCAGAAACAGCACCTCCACCCCCAGCCTCCACCTGCCCCCCCAACCATAGCTATCACAGCACAGCCATCCTACTCTGCTCCTGAAGCCCCCCAGACATGCCACCTACTGAGTAGCCCGTGTAATTTCTTAGTTCGGTCAGTACACCTCTTCACTACATATGCGGTAATCCAAGTCAACTACTGTGTAGTTGTATATTTTTCACTTGTTTATATGGTCAGTACATTTCTGCAGTGCAAGTGCAATAGATATTTTTATATCTAAGGGAAGCATATTCTAGGACATTACAACTTTTTTATGCTTTTTTGTTCCATATACACTAATTTTATGTAGTTTGTTGTATTGTTATCTTTAATGGCATTTTGCTTTAACTCTTTATAATTTTTATAACCAGACATTTTGAAATGAGAAAGCTTCCTGGATGGGAAGCGAAACATCTTCAAACTTGGAAAACAAAGGTATAATTGCTAATTGCACTGAAGGTATAATTCCAAGGGATAAAATTGAGTCCAAGTCTTTTCTCTCCAAGTCTTTATGCATATCACTGGTGAGGTCTAAAGCCCCAGTAAAGCAAAAAAACAACTAAAATTTTAAGCAACATCTAAAAAAATGTTGACACTGTTAAGATTAAAGTTGTTTACTTTAATTCTATAGTGTTTCTTTGTCCGTTTCTGTTTCTTTGTCTTGAATATATAAATATATTTATATTTTTGATTATTATGAGAACTTGAGTAGAACTTCAGTGGGACAGTGTATATCCTGTGTATATCAATATTCACCTTGTCTTGTTAATACTATAAATTTATATCAGCCAATGTTGGATATTGTTTTTAAAGCCCCCAATATCGGTATCAGCCTTTAGAATTACATACTGTTAAATGAGGAAGTTATGTCCCCTTGAAGGCAGTTGCGCCTCGGGACTTCCCTTCCGGTTCTTTTCCTGGGAGCAAGTTATTTACTAAGCTTAAAGGAATAGTACACCCAAAACATGATTAGCCTTCATTTTCTACTCACCCCCATGCTGAACAACACTCTGGAGTACTTTTTTGATATCTCAAATGCATCTGGAGATCTGGGAGGCTTCTTGCTGTCTGCTGACATTCAAATAATGGAAGTCTATGGCGTCCGAGGCAGAAAGGTCCATAAAAGTCCACAAAAAACGTGTCAATATTCCTCCATACTGCTCGTCCAATGTATTCCAAGTGTCCTGAGTGGGTAGCATCCAGAATTTACTCGAAACAAAGTCATTTAGAATGTTTTTAGAGCATAAACAGTAGTGTATAGGATTTCCTAAAAGCGCGTTCACGAGTCTACGGAAACCACGGCAGACCAAACCAGACGAAAGTGCGCAATCAGCTCGGCAAAGAACTCATGCTCCTCCTCAACACTGAAGTCCTCAGACATTTTTCTTTCGTTGTTTCTTTCTTTGCACAGGTAAACAGCACATTTCTTCTTCTACGCTTGCATTATCGGCAGAGCAGACACTGAATGCGCACTTTCATCTGGTTTGGTCTGCCGCGGTTTCCGTAGACTCGTGAACGTGCTTTTAGGAAATCCTATACACTACTGTTTATGCTCTAAAAACATTCTAAATGACTTCGTTTCGAGTAAATTATGGACGCTACCCACTCAGGACAGTTGGAATACATTGGACGAGCAGTATGGAGGAATAGTGACACGTTTTTTGTGGACTTTTATGGACCTTTCTGCCTCGGGCGCCATAGACCTCCATTATTTGAATGTCGGCAGACAGCAAGAAGCCTCCCAGATCTCCAGATGCATTTGAGATATCAAAAAAGTACTCCAGAGTGTTGTTCAGCATGGGGGTGAGTAGAAAATGAAGGCTAATCATTTTTTGGGTGTACTATTCCTTTAACTTAAACTGGGTAAAACCATATAAAAAAGGACTATAAAAACAGGAGTAAAAAAGTAACAGAGTTTATTCCAGATCAGGTCGTTACAGGACAGAGAAAAATGCTTGGAGCTTGCACAGCTGTGGGCTCAAAAAACGTCAGCGAGCGTCCGGCAAAGACTGAGCCCCGAACAAGGTCATGTTCTCCTTCTTATAGCTCATGAGTCTCTGTGTTGGATCATGTGGAAGTTTAGCTGTCCGTATCAGAAACTGACACGCCATCCATGCCCTGAGCTGTATGCATATTGCCTCTATGCCCAAGAATTACAGATAGCTTCCCTTTATCAGACCGGCTCCAAGATGTGCCCATATCCTGTGTATCTTTAAAAGACAAGAAGGCTGTCCTATTTAGATGACCTCCTTACACACAGTGACATCCACAATGTGAAGGAAGGCCTTCTACTCTCTCTAATCTGGCTAATAAAGTAACAATGCACATGATGTATAAAAGAATAAACCTAACAGTACTGATTCAGTTTCTAGTAATTACAGGTCAAAAAGTAAGCATGGCTAAGTGAAAGCATGTTTTCAAAGTGTGATAAAGGTTACCCTCGATGCAATATTTGCGATATTAAGTACAAAGGCTATAAGAGGGAATATGTACTTCTAACCCGAGGAAGCATCTGGTTAAGCCAAAGGGTTTTATCAAAGCTGAAAAGTGCATTGCTTTCCAAAGCTTTAAGTCTATGGCGGCAGCTCCTGATCTTAGCATGCCTGCATCCATGGGTGACTTGTCCGCAACCAGCAACATGGAAGAAGTGTTGGAACAGTTTGATATGACAACAGCGACAATGAAGATGCAAGTGAGGCAGCGGCATCAGCATCTTTGTCTGCTCCAGGTAAGCATAGCGACATTAGCTTGACAATTTAATTTAAAATGGTGCAAACATCGATGTAGCTCTGAAGAAAATGCATGTTTTGAGAAGTTTTGCTCATACCCTGACCATAGCAGACCAAATAATTTCACTAATTTCTAGATTATTAATATTCTATCAATGATCATTTCCTCATACTGGATAAGAACAGGATGGATGAAGAGGTTTATAGAACAACAACCTATTTAAAGTTAGTCTTTTGAGAAATAAACAAGGTAAAAGTTTGTGTTTATTATTGAACACGTTGACATTTCTTACCACAAAAACACATGCAAAAGTAAAAAAAAAAAAAACGGGTATAGTAGAGTATCGATTCAAATGATACAGTGTCAGTTCAAATGTGTAAGGTTGCCATGCCAACCTACAGTAGATGCTGGATTTCTGAGGTACAAAGTCATAGTTTCCTTAACATTCCAAAAACAAGATCCTACATAACTGTGCCATTTATAGAACAAATAAAACCAATAGTAACAAGGTGAGCTTATAAACAGTTATAAATCAATAAATGTGACACACATTAAAATAGTTTTGAAGTTGCCCGACACACCTCTCCAAAGAACGACACTGCCTTTAACACTATCCCACCACATCCCCCCTGCTCTCTACATCATGATGGCAGCCCAGATAAATCAGCTATCTACCTATATATCGGAAAAATATAAAGACCATTTGTTTTAGAGGCAGACGAGAACCTGGAAAAGTGGATTTCTGTGTGACTGGAGGGGGTTGGGGGGGTCTTCAGTGAACGCTCTATATAGAAATGACAGGAAAAGTTCCTCACAGTGGAGAAAGAAAAGCAGCAGAGGAGGAGATGAACAGGAAGGATGGAAGGAAGGATTAGAGGTCATCACCTTTCTGTGGGGGGTGGGGACATCAACTCCACACAGGGAAATTGTATGCATTTACATGTACACTGGAAACTTTACTCAAAAAAAAAAATAATACTTGAAAATATATTTTTCATAACATTATAAAGGCCTCAAAAATCAAAGAGCTTTATTCCAGCTTGGATAAATTTTGTCCCTTGTTGCATCAAAAGAGGCCCCTTAATGTCTTGTATAGTCATATGCTGACCCACATAAAAGAAAATAGTCCTACCAGTTCTCTTGGCCAAGCGAAGACTGAAGAGGGGGGAGGAGGGGAGTGAGCGACTAAAACCCTCCATCATCCTGATGTCTGAGGCGTCCGAATCATGGCTGCTGCTATCTGTTGGTAAGCAGGATGGATATGCATCAACGTGGAAGAAAAGCTACTTTGATAAAAACTGAAGGAAATTGCAATAGATTAACATTGAGAGAGGTTATAGGGAGAGGGCAGAAAGAGATGATGGACGGCTAAGGCTAGCGTCTAGAGGCTAACTGCTGGCGATGGATGGAGGACCGCTGAAAATCAGAATCACTCCTCCCCCACGCGGTGCCATCTTAGTTATTATTTCAATTTCAATTCAATTCAGTTTATTTCTATAGCCATCCCCACTCAACCCCCCTTAATATGAGTGCTGTTTATATAGCGCCAATTCACAACACATCATCTTAAGGCACTTTACAGTTCACAAGATCATACAGTCAAATTGATTCAAACCTGACAGCAGTTAGACGCTGCTCAGGTGCAGACGGACAGGGCCGCCTTTTACAGTTGCCTTTTGTATCTATGCTTCTTTTTCTATGTCTGCTTCTGTCTCCTTGAACCCCAGTCGGCCTCAGCAGATGACCGCTCACACTGAGTCTGGTTCTGCTGGAGGTTTCTTCCTGTTAAAAGGGAGTTTTTCCTCTCCGCTGTCGCTACAAGCATGCTTAGTGTGAGGGATTGCCTTCAAGTTAATGAGTCGATGAATCAACTGGTTTTCCTTAGATAGAAAACTTTGAATCAATTTGACTGGATGATCTGGTGAACTGTAAAGTGCCTTGAGATGACTTGTTGTGAATTGGCGCTATAGAAATAAACTGAATTGAAATTGAGACAGCCTATGGCTAGGGTGGGCTGCTGTAAAAGCAAATCCCATAATGCCTTGCCAGGAGAGCTCTCTGGGCAAAGCATTCTGGGATATATCTGCCTTATTTGAGGCCTTTCTTTTCTTCTCATACACTTGGTAGACACTTTTCCTCTTACGATCCTCAGCCATTTTCAAAGAACCACAGTGAGAAAGGCGAGCTTCAATAAATGTCTGACACATATACGCCTGAAAGTGCACATACACAGAAAAAGATAATTAACTGGGGAGGAGCACATAGAACCGCCTTTCGTAAACGTATCAACAGAATAATTGACAATTAGGAGGACCACTTATTGAGATGATCCACCCAGAAATAAAAGATCTCCCTCTATAACTTTTAGGCCTGAGCAGAGCAGCTCTGTGAGATTGTAAAGCAACTCTTCACCTTCAGTTTGACCCTGGAGAAAGTTCCAGTGATGTGAAAGACCTCCTGCTTTGTTCCAGTACCAAAGAAGACTCAGCCAACAGTCCTCAGTGACTATAGACCTTTTGCCCTGAGATCCCACATTATGAAGGACCTAGAGAGGCTGCTGTTGGTTCCCCTCAGCAAACCAACAAGCAGCTATTAGGACCCACATGTGGAAACAATCATCTGATCCTGAATGTCAACAAAACACGGGAGATGATTGTAGATTTAGTAGAGGAAACAGGAACAAGTTGAATCCTGTCTACATCATGGTAGAAGAGGTTTAGGTGGTGAAGGAGGAGGGAGTGTCCTTGGTGTTCACCTGAACAACAAACTCGATGGGGGACACAACTTCAGCTGTCAAAAAGAAGGGAAAGAGCAGATTGTAGTTCCTAAGGAAGCTTAGGTCCTTCCGTGTTTGAAAGAAAATGCTACATATCAGATAAAATTACTTATAAAAGCTCAACAAACTAATAAACAAGGCCAGCTCTGTTCTAGGAACTACTCTGGGGATTATTTCACGTATTCTTTGTAAAGTAAAGACCATGTACAACAGTGATCTTCCTCTTCAGAAGACTTTCAAACAATAACGAAATGTCATTAAAAGGCTTCTCCGGATCTGGTGAAAGACAGACTGCCCTCTGGAGATCGTTCCTGCCTTCCTGTAGCTGCAGATAAACCTACAGCTACAGCCTATCAACACCTACAACACCTTGATGAAAAAAAATTAATTGAAATACTTAACAACTACATTCATCCATCCCTGGTTTACAATTAGGTTTAAATCCCATAAAATATCCTGAAATTCATGTTTTTTACATGTTAAGATAGGAAAAAAGTTGAAAGGGGTATATTAAGTGCTCTAACTTGTAAATGAAACCTGTGATACAGAACATTTGAACAAAGCAAAAGATGATGACTTTATAACACTGAAATACATACCATTTTTATTAAGTTTGCGGCCCTTGCTTCCCAGCAGCATCTTCAGGCTGTTTCGGAACATAGTTACAGCTTAGTACGCTTTTTGCGGACAGCCCCTGGGGACAGAAGGAGACAAAGAACTCATTGGTTAACTTTGCAGGTGGCTCAAAACATTGAGAAGTTTATGTAAAGTTTAATAAAAAGTACATTAAGGAATGATCAGCTAAGACTATCATCTAATAGAGCACGAATCACGCAAAGGCAGTGAGTATGGCAAGGGTCCCGATGTTTTCCCAACATTGACCTGGACTGAGTTTACCCTACTTCAACATTCAGGCGCAACAACAGGCAGCCCTGCTGTCTAGTTTGCTTCTCATAATTCCAACAACAACAATGCTGCACCTGATCAAACTGTACGGTTGTAGCCATTCAAAATGTCCCCACTTTCCTTGATGGGCCCCTGGCTGGGCCCCTATAATTCATTTTTAAAAATCAATCTTTGTATTAAAATATCCTTTCTGTCATGATTTGTGCACCATCTGCTTGCCAGAGCCTGTAATTCAGTCAAAGGGTGGAGTCCGACTAAAGAAGATGCACAGCAAGGAGAAGGCCAGTGGCTGGAAGTTGGGTGGGATTTTGCTGGGAGTTGCAGGGAAGTGGGCTTTCATTCGCCTTTGAATGATTGGAAAGGGCTATTTTGAACGGCAGCGACTGTACAATAACCCTTAAATTTAAATCGGAGATCTTCAACAGTGGGTCCGCGACCCCTAGGGAGTCCACAGAGGTACTGCATGGGGGTCGCAAAAGTTTTTTGTTGATTACATTTTTTTAATATTCCCTCCTGCAACTTTTTCCACTAATCAAATGTTTTTAAATCCACATTAACATGAATTCAACACACTGTAGTAAACAGATAAATGGAGGCAGAGGATGTCTTTCAGTCATCAATGAAAACATTCAGCGACACACAGGAGCTCTTTCAAGCTGGGCACCGTTTCATTCACAACACCTGTCCCATCAACCAGGAATCAGAATCAGAATCAAAGGCGTTGTTGGCCCATGTTTGGGGGTGCTGAAGCACCCATAAATTAAATCAAAGCCCCTCTGTCATGATCACAGCCCCGGTAGCTGATCTGATTACTCACTTAAATCACCTGCCGTTCCCCCGTGCAGGAGGAGCTTGGGTTTTGGCCCTTTCCATGGACCTCCAGGTTTTGGCTCGGAACACTGGGGAGGGTCAGTTTTGGTAAGCTTGGCTCCTAGGATCGGACTATCGCCTGCTCACTGGGGTTGCTGCATTGGGGACACTGATCGGCTCCTTGTGCTGCATCTTTTTTTACAGCCCATCGGCTGGATCCTGCCTTCCTCTGAGAGGACTGTTAAACCAGGTAAGTGACTCACTCAGATAATCATCTCTTGTCAGATGAACATGACCATTTAAGGGCTGGTTATCCTCCCGCAGCAGTGTGTTGCAGTGAGCTTGATGCAGATATTATTGATTGATTTATGCCCCAATATTGAAGCGTGGTCTGCACTCTGTTAGTCCACGCCACAACACAAGAGGGACAATCAGGCACTAGCTGTGGGTCTAGATACGGCCGAGGCGGTGAGGAAGTGGGGGCAAGTTTGTGCGACAACGAAGGGACATGAGATAGAAAAAGAGCGGGGATCCAGGTGGAAAAAGGGTCCCAGCGTTCTCGCACACCTCGCTCTTCTAGCTGGTCCATCTTCTTTTTGAATTGAGAAAGCTTCCTGGAGGGGAAGCGAAACGTCTTCAAATCTTGGAAACCAAGTCCAGTGGATTTCTTTTTTAAACTTTTACGGAACATCTTCACAAGTCGTTTTCCACAATGGCAAACATACAAAAAAAAACAAGTGGGTTAGCTACTAAAAAGAATATACACATAGTGTAGAGAAGATGTAGAATTGACCAATCAGAGGCCTCCTGTCTGCAGCACTGTCTGAGGTCACCTACAATTTTGGAGAGGTGCAGCAGAGTGTCTGTGGAAGGGGCGGGCATATCTGCGTTGTGGGGGGGTTGTTCATATGACAACCTCCATACATCAAAGGTTAGACAAGTTGTGTGCTACTCATCAGGGTCAGAAATCTCACTAATGTGGGAGTATGTTTGCCATCCATAGATGGTTTGAGGATTCACTGCCCATACTACATGCATCTTTAAAATTAAAACACGAATCTGTCAGTTATGTTAATAGTTTAGTATTTTTTGTAATATTCCAGGTTTATTTATTCATGCCAGTGGCACTAACAAGCATCACTGATTTTCCTTTCCACATTTATGTATTAAAAATGTCCATTTGAATAGCTTTTATGCATGATTACATGAAATTTACAGACATTGTTGATCTTGGCAGGTATCAGTTTATTGCGTTATTTTATAACTTTTAGAAAAACGCATTTTGGCATGGCCGCCCTACTAACTGTACCAAGCACATGTTTAAAACAAAAACATGAATATATGAACCTCTGTCTTATTTGAGTATCTTAATATTGAATGCCAAACCATAAGGTACATTTACACAAAGCACTAGAGGACCAGTTTGATATAACACAATTTCATAAAATATATATAATTAGGGAATCCCCGCTCCATCTTGCCATTAGTTTAGGGGTCCTTCGCCTGGAAAACGTTGAAAACCCCTGTTTAAATTATTCAAGCAAACTTGGTTACTGCACACACATGTCTGTTAGCCAAATGGATGACGTGTTCTGCTATGGAAATGAACAAAAAAGCGGAAAACAATTTTCATCTCTGTATATTAGCCCACACTTTGTAACTTTGGTTTCACTTGGTAATTTAATGTAAGATATGGGTACTGAAATACACTAACTTCTGATAATGTTAATCTTTTTTATGAGTTTTGTAAATAGTATAATTTTTCATTTTAAGGCAATCTGTCAAATCTCAAGGTTTATTCAAGTGTGAAAACATCGAAATCTCACTGAATTCCATTTAAAAACGAAAAACTATAAAATCTCAATCTGCAGGTCAATCTGCAATTGACTTGTCTGCACATTTCTCCACTGTGAGATCAATAAGGTCTATCTATCAGAGTGGTTCCTAGAATTTCTAGAAGTAGAATGTGAGGTAGATAGTTTAGTCCATCCATCCATTGTCCCAATTGGGGTCGCGAGGGATGCTGGTGCCTATCTCCAGCAGTCAATGGGCAAGAGGCGGGGTCCACCCTGCACAGGTCGCCAGTCCATCGCAGCGCAACACAGAGACACACATGACAAACAACCATTCACTCACACCTAAGGGAACTGTAGAGAAGTCAAATAACAGTCATGTTTTTGGACTGTGGGAGGAAGCCGGAGTACCCGGAGAGAACCCACGCATGCTCAGGGAGAACATGGAAACTCCATGCAGAAAGAACCTGGGCCGGGAATCGAACCCAGAACCTTCTTGCTGAATTATGTCCAGGAGCAAATGGATAAAAATAAACCGGAGGAAAAAAAAAAACATGAATCGATACTCTTGCGGACGTATCGATGCATTCAGATCGTCGGCTGTTGGATCGATGCAACGATACAAAACGATTATTATTCACACCCCTAATGAGTACGGTGGAGAACTTTAAATTGAACACAAGAAGAAGTTCCATTCACACAGTTAAAAGCTCTATCCCAGGTCTCATCTCATCTTTTTTTACAATAAACCCCAGTCAATAGTGACAGATGGGAAAATCACACTTCCTTATGTAGCTCTTTCCTACTCCTACCAAACTCAGCAGGGATTGCTGGAAAGTCAATGACTCAGTACAGTTGGTGGATTGCTTACATTTATAACATCTGTCCAGTTGGGATTACAAGCTTACCTTGAATAAGTTATACATTTGAGATCAGATTTAACGTTTGTCATAGTAGTTCTGTAGAAATGTAATTTAAATAGTTGTAATTGCATTTAATACCCTATTAATAGAATTGAAGCTATATCAATAAATTAAAAAAGAAGTGGACTAAATTACTGCACATAAACTGCCCAATATATGTGATTATTGTTGTTTTCAATTTAGCTGGGACACTAATGATTTGGTAAAATGGATTATTATTTTTTTTTTTGGGGGGGGTCTTTAACTGAAGCAGACCTCAACAATGAAGTGTAGTGTTAAGGAGATTAATATGGGATTATGCTCTTCTGCTCTGTCTGGGAAGAATAGGTGGCAGAACAGAATACAAAGGAACACGTTTGAAATATTGTTAACTTTGTTTTACATTCTGCACAAACATGGTTTAAAATCATCTCCAAATTGAAGTTGTACAGTGTGGGCAGACTGTAGTGTGGAATAATATCTCCATTCAGAGGGGAAACAGAGCTGTTTCCTGGCAAAACAAGCAGAAATGTCCTGCAGTTGGACAAACATCCGGCCCAGTTCAGCTATCAGGACTACATGGCTGAAGTTTATAACCTCAGGTGAAACAGTTCCACAGAGAGCATAAGGAAATGATCGTATATATTAATATATCCGAGTCTTCCTGCAGTGATTTCAGCATCCAACGCCTAACGGACAACAATAGCGATGCCAAAACACACCGACAGCAGGCTGAGCGTTCAGAGCACTGATCGGTTCAGTTCGGAGATAAGAAAAAGGATTTCATTATGAAAATGCGTCAGAAGGCGTGGCTGCCTTTTGTGTTTTGATGGATTTCAGCGATGTGATGGAAGATGTGTTGGTTTGGCAGCACTGAGCTCCATATTTGAACACATTCCGTCGGTCAGGCGATGGTGAATCACCCTGACAGGAGCGGACATGGCAGATGCAGCTAACCCACCTTAAGCGCTGATTTCCTTCCATTCACAGGCGATAGAAACGCTCGGACCGGTAGATAACGGTTCAGTCTCTGCGGTGCTAGATTCCAGCTCTTGGTGTCTCCTCCCACGTTAATATCATTCAGAAAGCAGCTGAATTCGAGGTACAGATAAACAGATTGGCGCCTCTTCCTCGTTCGCTTTCATCAACTGGTATCAGTGTAACATTTTTAACAGACAATGTCAACAGTGCGGCCCTTCAATCTCCCTTTACCGGTGAGCAAAGCGTGACGTCTGGATAGCTGCTTCTCCTGCTCGGCGGGCGGCGCTGAATTATTAATGAGAGGGGCGTGGCCTGCCAGGCAGATCAACTACAGGACTGCTCAGCAGCCGAATGAGGCCCTCTAGTGGCCGAAGAGATAAATGAAAGGTCCCTGTTAATTTTTTAATGTAGCTCAATGACACGTCCCTACGAAAGAGGATTAGGGCCACTGGAAAAAAAAAGAAAAAGTTAACTGTTTTTTAAATTTTATTTCAGTTTAACATGTGACAAAAGTTAGAATTCTGACTTTTTTTTCTCAGAATTCTGACTTTAATCTCAGAATTCTGACTTTTTTCTCAGAATTCTGAATTTTTTCTCAGAATTCTGACTTTAATCGAAGAATTCTGATTTTTTTCCCCATATTAAACTGAAATAAAATGTAAAAATCAGTTAACTTTTTTAATTTTTTCAGTGGCCTCTTCCGTACTTCCGGTGTCGAGGCCGGTGTAGGCATAAATATACGTAGACGCCTCATTGGACGCTGTCGACATACCTAGAGAGCAGCCAGGAATTGGATAAGCATCTCCCTGAAAGAGTTTTTGGAACTTGGGATTCTGGCTCGATCTGAATACCTCAAAATCTCCTTGCCCTTCACCTTTAGTGGGGGAAAAAGTAAGAACTAGCACATGATTATGCTGGTCAAATTGGGCCAACAGCCTTCTGGAAAATAACCAAAAAATCTCAAGTTAATCTAAATGTAGTGAATTTATTTATTTATTTTGGCAAACTGCTACTGTCACTACAAGCAGTGGTGGTTCTAGACCAAATGTACCAGGGGGCCAGGAGGGGGCCAGGGTGTTTTCATGGGGGCACAGAAAACCATGCTACAGTGTGTGTAATAATTACAGGGATATACAGTCAGAAATGTAGTATATTATACATAAGTATGTTATTTATCATCATCTACGAGCTCAGCCTCTTACAGTTTATTCTGAATGCTAATCGTGATTCTTGTAGCACAATTTCTAAAACTATTAATACCTATAGCAAAACCACTCACTGAGTTTGCAAAACTAAAAGCACAAACACTGCATTGCACTCAGTTTGCAATTTTGTAATACACATTTTGCAAAACTGTAGGCACAATACACTGCACAACACTCGATTACCAAATTTCCAACACACTCCTAGCTAAATTATACACATGTATGGCTATCATTAACACTATTTTGCCAACTGTCTGGCACACTTTCACATGTGAAAACTGTTTTAGATAATTAGTTCACTTTGCAATCAGCCTAAGCACTATAAATAAGCCACAGGTAAGCTGTCTATGTGGAGTACAATGGATGAAGAAGTAAGAGTGAGAAGAGTGAGAATCATCATAATTGATAATGACACCATCTTTCAAAATATACACAGTGTAAAAATTTCTTCACTAAGTCGTGTACTTGCACGCCACAGAATAAGAATGAAGCAAATTTACAGAGTTCCTTTCCAGAGAAACACAGAACATGTAAAGCAACTGCAATATGACTATGTGCAGGTAAGCTATAGTGTCATTGGTTCTGAATTTGGAAGTGCATACTGTAGTGCTGTGCATGGGCCTGATGTGATGCATTTGTTTTGTCTTGTCCAGAGAGTGATGGAACTGGAAGCAGATGCCATGGGAGATGAGCTACTTTTTGTAGATGAAGCCGGTTTTAACCTCAGTAAAACCAGGAGACGTGGCAGGAACATTATTGGACACTGTGCCATCATCAATGTCCCAGGACAACGTGGTGGTAACATAACCATGTGTGCAGCTATAAACCAAAATGGTATTGTTCACCATCATGCAACCATAGGCCCATACAACACTGCACACATTATTGCATTCCTGAACACCTTACATGACATGCTCACTGTTCAGACACCAGATATTTCATCATATGGGACAATGTTAGTTTCCATAGGGCTGCCTTGGTCCGCAACTGGCTTACAGACCACCCATTCTTCATGGCACTCATCCTCCCTCAATCCTCATCAACAGGTAGCCCTTTTACAGGCAATGGAGGAGGCATGTGGAGATATTGACCAGGCATCATGTCAGGGCTGGATACGGCATTCAAGAAGATATTTTCCCCGGTTCCTTGGACTGGAGGATGTCGCATGCGATCCGGACAAAATTTTGTGGCCAGACCCAGAAAGATGACATGATTCAATTCAATTCAATTCAGTTTATTTATATAGCGCCAAATTCACAACACATGTCATCTCAAGGCACTTTACAGTTCAACCAGATCATACAGTCAAATTGATACAAAGTTTTCTATCTAAGGAAAACCAGTTGATTGCATCGACTCAAATACAATCCCTCACACTAAGCATGCTTGTAGCGACAGTGGAGAGGAAAAACTCCCTTTTAACAGGAAGAAACCTCCAGCAGAACCAGGCTCAGTGTGAGCGGCCAAATGCCGAGGCCGACTGGGGTTCAAGGAGACAGAAGCAGAGATACAAAAAGCAGCTGTAAAAGGCGGCCCCGTCCAGGAAACACACAGCCAGGCAGACGAGCTCCAAGGCAGCTCCCATGCCAGAGGACGAAGACAGCACATCCATCCAGTCACGCTCAGAGAAACAGGACCACTCTGGAAAACAGGCCGATCTCCAACATCTATAAATGTAGGCTGATTGTTTTTTTGTTTTTTGTGAAATTACTATTTTGTGTTCTGACTTTGTCTTGGTTTTGATGAGTGTGAAGAAACAGCAATACTTAAAATTTGGATCCTTGTATGTTTACATGACACTATGATAAAAATAAAACCTCAAATTGACATCTGTTCACGGAGAAAGAGAAAGCCAGATGTGTTTTGTATTCATACCATCAGTGTGTAGTTGGCACATTGTGTGCTTAGTAGATGATGGCTTGTGTTTCCTGTTTGATATGAAAACACCATTTTTACAAAGGTGTGAAGAGTTACAGTTTTTTACAGTCGCTAGGATACATTTCTCAATACTTAGGTCACTTTTTCAAAACTCTTCACACAGTGAGCACAACAGAAGTATATGTGGGCTAAACTGTGGATCATTTATCATTGCTTTGGCACAAAATGCATTCAATGACTACATCTTTCAAATTACATTAATTCTTTTCTCACTTCGACACAAGAACCGCCAAAACTCTGTGTACCTACAGGACAATTTGCACATGCTTACATACTGTTTTCAAAACTGTTAAACTTATGTTCAAAACAATAACATAATACAAAACTGAATAAGACAGCAATTTGCTACATTTCTACAGGAATATTTTAATGAAATATATTTAACATCTTAAAATTAAATGCTATAAAAATAAGTGGACAATTGGACCAACCACAGCTGATTCTCATTGTAGATGAACATCTACACAGGTGTTACTCTTTCAATTTCATTACAAAAGGAGACAACTGCTGAATAGTTTTGTATTGTGATGTAAACATGGACCCAGCCAGAAACAGAGAAGTGGCTGAAAGAGGAAGAAGAGGGGCTGGGAGGGGGCGAGGAATACATATGCGTGGTGGAAGAAGAATAAGAGGAAGACCAAAAGCTGTAGTTTCAGATGAGATCAGAGCTACTGTAATTGATCATGTAGTAAATCATGGTCTCTCAATGAGAGAGGCTGGTCAGAGAGTGCAGCCAAATCTGCAACGCTCAACAGTGGCATCTATTGTTAGAGTTTTCCGGCAAACCAACAGGTAACTTGTATTCTGCAAGGGCATTTGACTGAGTTGCACATTACAGAAGTAAATAGACTTGTGTGTAATTGCTTCAGCATTTCTGCTTAGGACTCAACGGTTACCTCACACAGGTGGGAGAGGAAGGATGCTCACTGATGTGCAGGAAACTGCCATTGTTGATATGGTCATCAGAAACAATGGCATAAAACTCACTGAGATTCGAGACACAGTTTTGGCAGACAACATTACTTTTGCAAATATTCACAGTGTAAGCATCACAACTATTTCTAGAGTCCTGAAAAAACATCAGGTAAGGATGAAACAGTTGTACACTGTGCCTTTTGAGAGGAACTCTGAACATGTCAAGCAACTCAGGAACCAATATGTCCAGGTAAGATCACAATAAAATACAGAACTGTTTTTGAACAAAACACACACAAAGAAATTATTTTTAGGTAATGTTTACTACTGTAACAGCTTATGTTGCCTTGTGGATTTATTATAGAGAGTCATGGAGATTGAAGGCAGGCAAACGCCCCACATTTTCATCTTTGTGGATGAGGCAGGTTTCAACCTGGCCAAAACACGGCGACGAGGAAGGAATTTGATTGGGAAGAGAGCCACAGTGGATGTCCCGGGCCAGAGGGGTGCCAACATCACAATGTGCGCAGCAATATCCACTGATGGACTGCTGTTACACAAACCAATAATTGGGCCGTACAACACTGAACGTCTCCTTGCGACCCTGCATGATCTCTATGGAAGGGTTGTGCTAGGTGAGGAAAGGGATGCAGAGAGAAGAAATCCAGCAACATTTATAATTGTATGGGACAATGTGGCATTTCACCACTCTCGTGCAGTCACCGAGTGGTTTGCAGCCCATCCCAGAATGGTGTCACTTTTCCTCCCACCTTACTCTCCATTCCTCAACCCCATAGAGGAATTCTTTTCCTCATGGAGGTGGAAGGTTTATGACCACCATCCACATAATCAAATGTCCCTCCTGGACGCAATGAATGCTGGATGCCTGGACATATCAGCAGAAGATTGTCAGGGATGGATCAGGCATGCCAGAAGATTCTTTCCTTGGTGTATTGCCCTAGATGACATAAGATGTGATGTGGATGAGAACCTGTGGCCAAATGGAGAAGACCGAGTAGATTAGCATTACTATTGTATCTGTATCAGTGGATGATGTGAATACAAATTCTTGTGTTTTGGAATTACTCCTAAAAACAAATAAAAGACATAAAATATATTGAAGCATTCTGCATCATGTCTGATTCATTCCAGTAACCTCTATTGCAGTGAATTATTAACCGAGATTGTATAATGCTACATGTTGTTAGTGTT